ACCTTTTTGGCATATTCTTAACGTTTTATCTTTCGTAAACTACCGTAATTTGAAGGATGTCAATGAAATCTATAACTTATCTGCTACATTTTAAATTTCCCGTTCAAGCGCTTGCCTCTTTCTACCGTAATCTTGTCTCTAATCTTTATTGAATCAATGGTTTTTCGATAGTAGAAAGGTTCCATGTTTTAGAAAACGCATTGCCACATTGTAGGACATTTGGCCCCACTCCTTTGCCATTTGCAATCTAACTTTGAGCTCAAATATCTTCGTGTTGTTGGGGCTGTCCAATTTAAACACTCTGGGTACCATTAGATTTGCCAAGTCTTTCTCTGTCGATTTGTACAAAAACTATTTAAATTGGCCACCCCAACACCAAGAAATTTGAGTCCAAAGCTAGATTGCCAATAGCAAAAGGGGTGGAGCTTCTGGGGCTTATATACGCGCCGCGCCATTGACAATCCAACTTTGAACTCAAATATCTTTGTGTCGGGCTATTCAATTTAAATAGTTTTTGTACCAATCGACAGAGAAAGACTTGGCAAATCCAATGGTACAAAGAATATTGAAATTGGACATCCCAACACCAAGAAATCTGAGCTCAAAGTTAGATTGCCAATGGCAAAAGGTAGTGCTTATCAAATGTCGCTTATCTTATCAAACAGCCTTGCCCAGAGGAGCGAGTCTACTTAAAACAAAGATCAAGCAAATTTCTGAGTTATTCAATAACTGAGAGCCAAGTTTTAAATCTGCTAATTAGCCAGATACACTTATTCATCAAAATCAATATCATTGTCCTATTAGAGTTTAAAAAATTGCAACAATCTCTCAGAATTATCTCATTGTTCACTGGAAAGTTTTACCAAGAATCCATGCCCCTTTTAGTCTGTTTTTCTCTTCACTAATTCTTTTCCACTCCAAAATCTTTTTCAACGTCAAGCGAACAAACTAAAAACCTCAACATATCATGGCAATTTGTTGAATTGAATTTTTCTCACTTTTGAAAGTCCAAATCTTTTAAAAGATTAAATTACTGCTGAGAAATTGCACGATTTCTATCAATAAGTATGTATTTTCAACAGAAAACTTGTATTTTTGAAGCGGCTTAGGAAAAGTATGTAGGGAAAGATTAGTAAGAAAGATTAGGAGAGGTAATTTCTCTAAAGATATGCTCAAGATTGAAAATTCAAGACGAAGACTTGAATCGATTCAAATTCAATTCGAATTCAATTCAAATTCAATTCAAATTCAATTCAAATTCAATTCAAATTCAATTCAAATTCAATTCAAATTCAATTCAAATTCAATTCAAATCCAATTCAAATTCAATTCAAATCCAATTCAAATTCAATTCAAGACGTTCTTGGCTTTTTTTTCTACAAGAGCTCAAATATTGAATTTTACAAGGATCGGCTGTCGTTTGGAAAGTTAGTTTTTAAGATTGAAAATCAAAGATACAGTTTTAACATTTGGATGATTGATTTCAAAAAAAAAAGTGTTTGAAGTTTTAAAAAATGGGTTACGCAAAGCTTTTTAATGAAGTTTTTCAGTTCCAAAGAACTTTAAGCAATTAACCAATGGTATCTTTACAGTATCAGCCATGCAATATGCAGATAGCAATTCTGTAAAAGCAGATGATTTATCTCGTCTCGTCCAGAGAGGAGGGAACTTAACTCCCTCTGAAGTAGGAGAGATCAAATGCGCTGTGGTGTGCGCTGTGGTGTGCGCTGTGGTGTGCGCTGTGGTGTGCGCTGTGGTGTGCGCTGTGGTGTGCGCTGTGGTGTGCGCTGTGGTGTGCTCGCGCAGTTGCTCGGTAATCGAAAGGTCGCGGGTTCGAGTTCCGGCGGCACACAAGTTTTTGATCTGCCTAGTTCCAACTGAAGAAATGAGAGTAGTCAAAAATAGAGAAGGCCAGAGCCAGGCCAGGAGCTGTGTTGGACTGCGTTTTCTCTGTTGGACTTCTGAGTCTTTTATGGGTTGGAATTCAAAACATGGTCGATGCCGGAATTCGAACCCGCGACTTCTCACTTACCGGGCGAACGCTCTACCAATGAGCTCCTTACTAGGAAAGGATCAAATCAAATCCATTCTAATCAATCCAAATCAAATCCTAATACTAAAGGTCAAGGTGGCCTTTTTGATGTGTATTTGATAGAGCTTTGAATGAGGATTCCGAATCCGTTTTTAGTTTTTCCAATGTAGTTCTGTATCTCGATATCTCGCATCAAAGTTTGGGACTTGAAATCCAATGGTATTTTACTCTAACTCCCCAGGTTAAACGGTCTCCGATGCGGGCCTGTGGTCTAGAAGTAAGTCGTTAAAATTCAACTAGGGACTTCCCTGGTTCGGACCCGCTCTACAACTTTTTTTGCAATTAACAGAGAGCGACAAAATGCAATTGTACTAAATGGAAATTTAGTAAAAACAAAGCACAATTCTAAATTTATAATCTTCTCCAAATTTTCATCTCAAATTTTTCCCCTGAACTTTCTAATTTTTCTACATGAACACACAATGACTTTTTACAGTTATAATACAAAAATGACAGCTTCTCAAAGGTGCCTATGTTTTAAAAGCTAGAATTTAATCTTATCAGCTGTACATTTTAGCAAATGACAATAGTTACAGTATTCAGACTGGCTTTCTCAGCCATCTCATCATCTGATCTAAAAATACTGTGAACCATCAAAAATCAGCTGATCTCACTTATCAAAGGCGGCTCATCGGCATTGTATACACAAGCGAAAATCTTCTATTCGACAATTTACATCAAAAAAAATTACTTAAGATAAATCTCTGAGTGAAAGGGATCTGTTGAAAGATCCTTTCTAATCACAGCTAAGCAACGAAAAAAGAGATTCTAATCTACTATTTTCCCATTTGCGTAATTATCTAAATGAAAAATGGGATCTAGTAGAATTCCATTTAGTAGAAAAAGTTTTTTAAAAAGAAAAAAACGAGTGTGGGTGTTCGAAAGATTACGGTAAAACAATTAGCACTTTTTCGGAAATAAAACGGAATAACAAAACTTTTGAAAATGCATTACTCATAATTTGATGGGAAAAGGCAAAAAGGCAAAGTTGATCTTATGATAAGATGAGGATTTTCTCGAGTTTCAGAAGAGTGAAAGACTTTGATTCTAAAGCTAGAATTTGATTGGTTCTGGATGTTAATAAAGTTGATTGATTTGGGTAAATGGGGAAATTGTGGGTGGAAAGGTTTAGAGAAATGATGTTTGTACTGTCTTTTTACTGATCTTTCCCCATTTACTCGAATCAATCAACTTTATTGACATCCAGAGCCAATCAAAATTCTGCTGATTCTTCTGAAACTCTAGAAAATCTCCATCTTGAACTGAAATATTAGCAAAACACAGAAAATAGATAAAAATATTTAACTATTGGGTTGATGGAAAAGTCCTTTCCGATTTTTTGGGAGAGTACCTTAAATTTGTTGAATTTTGACGTTTTATAGCTCATTCTAAAGCTGAATTCAAGACGGATCGATTGGTAAAAACCGCTTTGAGATATCTCTTTTCTAAAAGTTTTTACAGCTATTTTAGTAAAGGGCGGCAGAGCCAAAAAATCGCTGTTTTCACGTTTCGTTAGTTTTCCGTGCAGAAACCTAGGCTAAAAACATGTGTTTCGTGATCAGCGTCAAAAATAACCCCTAGACACGCATTTTCAGAATCTTAGCAAAGCTGAATAGCCTAAATTGGAAATTGAATGATTGAATTGAATATTTTGAAAGATATTCGTGGTTTGATGATGAATGATATGAACTTTCAATCTTTTAGAAAAAAAACAATTAGAGGAATAAATTCTAGTTTGCATACCGTAAATACTGTAATAGTACCCCACCCTCATAATGACGGTGCGGAGCGCTTGCGTAGTCTAGCTTTGAACGAGTTTTTCTCGACACTGGTTTATGCTACAATGTGCGCTTAGGTATCAAAAGATAGCCCTGAATTTCAGCTATTTTTTGATACCAAAGACGCATTTTTTGAAAGTACGGGTGCTTTGAAAAAAATGAAATACTGAAAAACTTTTGCGACTGCGCGACTAGGCTAACTTCTTTCTAGAAAATCATCTTTTTCTCAGCTCCTAGACTTTTTCTAGCTACTATTTTAATACCAAAAAAATACTAGATTTCAAGGGCTATCATTTGATACCCGAACGAACACGGTGGCGTATACCAGTGTCGAGAAAAACACGTTCAAAGTTAGACTACGCGACTATACGCGTGCGGAGTCTAGCTTTGAACGCGTTTTTCTCGACACTGGTTTATGCTACAATGTGCGCTTAGGTATCAAAAAATAGCTGAAATTCAGGGCTTTTTTTTGATACCAAAGACGCATTTTTCGAAAGTACGGGTGCTTTGAAAAAAAATGAAATACTAAAAAACATTTGCGACTACGCGACTGTACGAGGGAGGAGGGGGGGGGGGAGTACTATTACAGTATTTACGGTATCTCAATCTACTCTAAGGCTACTCATTCTTGCATTGATACCATTCTACTTGAAATTGCAAACGGTATAAAGTCAAGTTTAAGATTCAATCAGTTAAAATTTCTATTCTATAGAAAAAAACCAGATAAATGGAAAAAGAAGCAACTTTCTTGCTTTGAATCGAACCCATGACCTTTTGATTAGTAGACAAGCCTCTTAACACTATTACAGTATTTACGGTAGGTTATATAAAATCTATTTTTGAAGAAATTCTTGCCAATTTAAACCTGGTTTTTATGTTTTGCTGATGAAAGTCATAACTTAAACATCAGAATTATCAAAGTAATCATTATCCTTTTCGCTTTCTCCATCCACAGTTCGTTTCTCATCTCATTTCTCATTTGCCAGTAAGCTATTAGGTTCAAAAAAGCTGATCTCTTTAACTTATGTCTTTACAATTTTGTTGAAAACTTGATATTTCTTTAATTTTCAATTCTTTTGTGCTTTTTCTACAATTCTTTCCTAGCTATTTATTCTAATTTTCATTTGCAGATGTCCCTGACGGACTTCTCTCCTCCATCTCCTCCACAAGTCTCCCCATTTGGTTCTTCATCTTCATCAGCCACCGATCTTGACATGAGCTGTATACCATCACAAGAAAGGTAAGTAATGTTAGTAATGATTAAGTAATAATGATTAAGTAGTAATGATTAAGTGCAAAAATTTCACATCAGTTAACTACGTTACTGCGAAATGATGAACTTATCAGTTTATAGATAAAAATGCTCACAAAACAAGTGGGCAAAATTGAACTTTACGATCTAATCGAGATTCCCGACAAAACCTGGTTTTCATATTTTCCCCTATGCCAAAACATAATTCGAAATTGTTAAGAAGCGTAAGAAGTGTCTAGAAGCGTAAGAATATCATTCGAAATTCCCACCACATTGATCAAATTTCAATTCATCGGGAATAAAGCCGAACTCTCACAACTCGTTGAACCAGAATGCACAAAAAAACATGTTTTATCTAATCGAAACATAAACATTGAACTATAAACTCAAACTAAATAAAAAAAAATGAACTAGTCGATATCCTCCGAATTTCCATTGATAACTACATGGCTAGAAGCGTAACAATATAATTCGAAATTCCCACCACATTGATTACACTTCAATTCGTCGGGAATAAAGCCGAACTCCCACAATTCGTTGAGCTAGACATTCGGGTTGACAAACGCTTTAGCAAGATCGCATTCCTAAAGAAAAACATTAGTAAATGAAAAGAAATGGGCGAAGACATAAAAATCTGGATTGGTTTGGATTCTCGATCCTGGATTGGTTTGGTTTGGATTCTCGATCCGACCATAAAGTTGAATTTAGCCGTTTTAACAAGTACTAGAATAGCTCCTGGCTATACTTCGTTCATTTTTTGATATTTTAGACTTGATTCTAGCTTGGAATCAGGTCAAAGCATGACCTGATTCCTGCTAAATTCAAGTTCGTTTCCATCATTTTAAAACTACATTCACTACTTTGAAGCATTCAAGGTGTTTCTTATTCATTCATCTAAACCCTTGTAGTGTAAAAAGATCGTTTGGTAATCGTTTGAAAAAGAGCTTTGAGCTTAAAGCTATCCAAAAAACGCCTTGCAAAACAAAGTACTAAAAATTTTCTCAAAAATTCGCATTAGTTGGAAGAAATCTTTAAAAAATCGCTTCACTACACCAAAAGTCGAGCTCTTCTCGAATAATTTTATGTTGATCACTGAATTTTACTAGGATTTGCGCATTAAGAGAAACGAAATCGAAAAGCCGATTGTTTATGGAGAAAATTTCTCTCTAGTTTGTTGTTGGCTTCTTCGATATCACTACAAAGTTGCGAAAAAAATAATTGCAAAACTTTGTACTCTTTTTACTCCGCCAAATTCACTCGACTAAGTGGGTGATATTTTTGTTTTTATGGAAAGTTTAGAGGACTATAGTCTAGTTTAAAGGGGTAGTCCTTCAAACTATTAAAAGCCGTTCTCAGTGATCGGCTCCAGCTACCGGTTTGGTCGAGTGGCTAGTGGTCTTGCCTAAGAGGCCAAGCCTCGAGGGTTCGCTCGTTTCCTCTTTTTCCCGCTCGTTTCCATTTGACTTTGAGGAAAGCTCAGAAAATGGTTTAGTTTAAAGGAGTAGTCCTCAGCGAGATCCGATTTTTCCTTCGAACCATTAAAAGCCGTTCTCAGTGATCGGCTCCGGTCTTTTTTTTTTTTTTTTTTTTTTTTTTTTTTTTTTTTTTTTTTTTTTAAAAAAAAAAAAAAAAAATTTTTTTATTTTTTTTTTTTTTTTTTTAAAAAAAAAAATTTTTAATTATTTTTTTTTTTTTTTTTTTTTTTTAATAATAAATTTTTAAAAAAAAAAAAAAAAAAAAAAAATTTTTTTTTTTAAGAATATCTTCAAAGAAAAAGTCAACAAATGGGGCAGACACGCTTTTCCGCCCTTTCCGCAGTGCGTAGCTACCCGATTCGTTGCGTTTTGCTTCGAAACTGAAAAGATACTCAATTTTCCGCTTTTACTTCCGCTTGCAAGCTAGCGTTTATAAACTAAGCAAGCCTAAATCCCAACCAGATCCTAGCTCCGGAACCTGGCCTCTGATCTCACTCAGGAAAATTGCCCTTAGAAAGACTTTATCTTATTTCACTCACATTTTAGATCAAACCTATCTCATTTACATATTTTGGCAAGAAAAGGCAAGCTAGACCAAAGCTGCGTTAAGGCCCAGTTCCAAGAAAACCCTTCTCATTATCATTAACAAATATCCTTTCAATCTGCAAATAGACCATAACCTGAGCCCAAACCTTTATCTCGTTTATCTAAAATAAAAATAAAATAAAAATCGGGTATTGAGTGGCAGTGCTGAGGGTCGAACCCGGCTCGTGTGGGTTATAGACCAGCACGCTCCCGACTGCTCCATGGTTATAGACCAGCACGCTCCCGACTGCTCCATGGGCGAGGAAAATCCGACTAGATGAGCTAGACGGGCTTTTCGATTGGTTTAAAACAAACCACGAATTTCCAGATCGCCACCAGCCGGTTGGTTACCGATTTCTGGGGTGGGCACAATTGGGATGCATCCGGGCGCTCATCCCTATCCATCTCCACTCTCCGACGACTCAATGTACCGTTTCCCATTCTTCGCAAAATCCGACGATTACATCGATGAGCGGAAACCGTCTTTTCTCGGCGCCAATTACTATCATCTGCCTGATCCAGGTTTGGTCCAAAAAAAAACCACAGCAATGTGAAGTTTTCGCCTTAAAACTAACAAAATGACTGCTTAATGAAGCATAATAATGAAATTAACAGTATCATTATCCATTTAGAACCCTTCACAACTCAATCTCAACCCTATCCAGTCGATAAGAACAATTTGTTGTGTAAAGTTTGCGGTGATAAAGCAAGTGGTTATCATTATGGTGTGACATCTTGTGAGGGATGTAAGGTGAGTTTTTTCATTTTAAAACCTGAAACAATGTTCTCTGTTTCATTGATACATTGAAGCTTATCGATCTATTTCACTAGCGCAATTGACTAACTAGAGAAATTGCTGCAATTGCTGCAATTGCTGTGACTTTTTGGAAATTTTCGGCCAAATCCATCTTATAGAATCGGCCACGCTGATTTCGAATCTGTTTTTAGTTTTTCCTCTCGAGCCCAGTAACAAGAGATATCTGGTTTAACAAGAGATAACAAGAGATATCTGAAAATGAACAGTTTAAAGAATTGGCCTCGGATTGGCCCATTCCTGCAACCATGGATTGGCTGACATCCTTATTGTTTGACAATCCATGGATGACATCCCATGGATTGGCTAAACGTCCTTATTGTTTTTGATTCAATCGATGAATAAAGTTATCGGCTCGGATCTGATTCAATCGATGAATGAGCTAAATTTTCCCTGGACTTATCTCTCAAATCTCATTTGGGTATTCCCAAAAGACTTATCGATCGCTTTTCTCGAATGGATCCTTTCCTCCATTCACTCTCTCAAATTATACCCCAAGGGACTTGATTGCGCAATCGTCATCCCCTCCATTGTGTGTTGCGGCAAGCATTAGCATTTTCCACAAAAAAAGGCCTCATTACAGAGAAACTCATTCTTTTCCTTTGCTCAATTATTCGATTCGATGCACATTTGTTGTAAGAAGAAGATCATATTAAACCATAAAGAAAGAGAACAAATTTGACATTTTTCAACAACAAACATCTACATCTAGGCTTTAAAATGAAATCATCAAGGGATTTTTTCAGGGTTTCTTCCGGCGAAGCATTCAGAAGAACATGGAGTACAAATGTCTCAAAGATAACAATTGTGCAATTTTCAAATCGAATCGCAATCGCTGTCAGAGATGTCGCTTCAAGAAGTGCATGACTGTGGGGATGAGCAGAGATTGTGAGTGGAAAAATTGGATTAGTTACGATCAGATGCCCGAACAAAGCTGGAAAAACTTCAATCTGGCTTGAAAGGCTAAGAGGCTAAAGTTAACTCTTGGCTTTGGGCTGAAGAAAGTCAGAGAGAATACGTTTTTTTGGTTGATTTGATAGGTTTTGGCTGACTTGATAGGACTGACCAGGTTTTTTGACTGGATTTGTTAATGTGGGTTTAAAAATTTCAATGAGGAAAGCTGTTTTTGGAGATTTCAAAGAAAATAACCTTGAAAATGACTTTTGAAAGAGGCACATTTTGTTTTAAATCAATTTGTTTGATTACCAAATTCGTTTGAAAGTGCTTTTGATTGACTACATGTCGTTGTAAAAATAGGTCAAAGTTTCCCTCAACAACTTTCCTTAAGTGTTAAAAGAATTCGATCAAAGAGCAGCTACTTGGTTGTTTGGCTTAGAAAAAAGTTGATTTCTGCTCAGATTTGAGGACTTAGGGAGGGGTAATTTTATTTACCCATTAATAGGAAAAGATTTAGAGGATTTACCGGAACGGAAAGGGTTTTCAAAATGCGGAAATGACGTGTACGAATTAGCATTTCAGAGAAATGATTAGAATTTCCTGAAAAAAATGGAATTTAAAGGGCAAAAATCAAAATACTAAAGCTAAAAACATAGAAATCTGTTTTAAAAGGTTTACGGAAAGTGTTTTCAAGATGCGGAAATGATTGTATGAATTAGAATTCAATAATGTAATACAAACAAATACAGAGCTCAACCGCTCTAATACTCTAAAAATGTTGTAGAAAAAAAATCTAGGAAAAGAGTTAAATTTTCTTGCCGCTGGGATCAAACCCGTAACCTCTTGGCTAGGATACAAGACTCCTACAAGACAATGCTAGGATACAAGATCTCATAGCGGCACAAAAAAGCTGAGCACTAAACCCAACTTATAATTGTGAAAATGAGCACAACTTTTAGCAGTGCGTTACGGGCGTTTGCAAAGGAAAAGAGAGAGAGAGGCGGGTGCTTTACCCAATCAAGCAATTCTTCCCACTCTGCCCACCCAACAACGAGATTTCACAAGTTTCATCAATGAAGTAAGTGTAGCTGAATACCAAATCTCCTCAAATAAATGCCAAAAAGCTCAAATAAAGTTGAAATATGTAACTCCAACTGTTGAAAACTTACTAATCTAGTGGTTTTTTTGTGAGCTATGCAATGAATTAGAAAGAAACTTCTAATCAAATGAAGAAATTTACGAAAAACTTGATTCAGGTGACGCTTGCTTTCACGAATAATCCAGGCTGTCCACCGCAACACATCATCGAAGCGCCAACGATTCTGCTAGAAATTGTGAGCCAGCAAAATGCTAAAAAGTGTTGATTTTTAGAAATCTAAGCGAATAAAGCCTCAATTCCCGGAGTTCGTGTATGAGTTGGCAACTTTCCAAATCCAAATTCTAAAATACACCTAAGCTACCTAAAATACACCTAAGCTACCAGGACGGCGTCTTCCTTTTTTCCTATAAAATAAAGTCCCATTCCTTTAAAATTAATTCTTTTAAAGAATCGTTGACTGGTCCGGCGCTTCGCCGTGTCTTTTGCGCGTGTATGTTTCCCTTTCGCTATTCCCTTATAAAATTATGTTGATTGTGAAAATTTCTCCTCCTTTTATTCTCTCTCCTCCTTTTATTGTTTTCACCGCTCCTTCCCTGTTTCTTTTAAAATTGTTTTAAAAGTTTTAGAGTTTCTGTACCGCTTTTTCCACTTTGTTAGTCTTCGGACCCGTGTCTTTCATATCAACAATAAAATTATTGAAAATCTAAACATTTTTACTCTATAAACGCCAGTAAATCTAACCCAGCCGCGAATCGTCTTGTTATTCCTCTCGTTTTGACAAATCTTTTGGAATTAGTGTTTCTAGTTTTAAAGATTTAGCGGTTTCGGTAAGATTTCAACCCAGAATTAGATTTTTAAAACCGTCATGTTGTAGATATGTAAATATATAGTAGATATGTATCTAAATAAAGATTTTTAGAGAACCGTAATACGTTACTTTTTCAATTCTAGGGGCTAGTCCGGGGATCGAACCCGGGACCTCTCGCATCAACAATCATTTTTTCAATTTAGACTTCAAAATCGACTCACCCGACGCTAAATGATGATGAGATTCGATGCGAAACTTGGCGCGCCTATGCGGGGAGTCTCAATCGAGACATCGAGGCTTTCGTCGCTTTCGCTAAATACATTCCATTCTTTTGTGAATTGGCTACATCGGATCAGCTGGAGTTGATTAAGGTCAGTCTTTGGGTTTTGGGAAAGTAGATTAGATTCAAGATTAGATCCAAGATCAGATCCAAGATTAGATCAAAGTAAATCAAACTTTATTTAGTCGAGATTCTTCGCCATTTTTGTCATTCGAACAGCTCCGGCGATGAGTGAGCGGCAATTGGTGATCAATTCTGGAGTGGCGATTTCGAAAGAACAGGTTGATCTAATAGCTAGTAATCTAAATAAAACCGGATGCGGAATCATAAATTCTACATTATTTTACCGTAAATATTCTAATAGAAGAGCCCCCTATAGTCGCGTAGTCTAGGTTTACACTCAAAGAACAGCTCATATCTCGGCGCTCAGACATTTGTTTCTGCGCGCTAAGGTATCAAATTAAAGTAGAGAAAATGGGTGATATTTTGAGATATAGCACATATTTTTAGCATTAATCAGCGCTTAGAACAAAATGATTGAAAAGTGGCAAAAAAAAAACCGATTTTCCATCATTTTTTAATCATTTTGTTCTAAGCGCTGATTAATGCTAAAAATATGTGCTATATCTCAAAATATCACCCATTTTCTCTACTTTAATTTGATACCTTAGCGCGCAGAAACAAATGTCTGAGCGCCGAGATATGAGCTGTTCTTTGAGTGTAAACCTAGACTACGCGACTATAGGGGGGCTCTTCTATTAGAATATTGACGGTAACTTTTCAAAATCCTATAGATCTTCTGAAAGCTAACAGAACGTTCTAAGCCATATTCATAAATCATAAAGTATTCAAGTCTATTCAATATCTTTGACGCCGTAGTTGAAACCTTTACCCTCAATTTTTCAGCTCATCTCCCTCTATGGCAGCGATTTTGTCTATCGATGGATCACATTTGCAAAAAATTTCAACTCTTTACATTGTTCGATGGCCGAGAGAGCGCTCTTCGTTGTTTGGCTGCTAATCACTGCCGGTATCATTTTTTAAATCTTCGATCAACTACAGGGTGTCTCAAAAGTGCGGAGCCACCTCGTTCTTAAGGCCAACAGAAAGCCTTTTTGAAAAACCGTTTAGAAATTCAAAATCTAGATGAAATTTGGGTCTAGAAAACATTTTTCCGAAAAAAAAGAGAACCTACTCAGACCTATTTTCTTGTGAAACAATAGTTAAAACTTGAAATCCGATTACGATTACTTTTTAGAGCTATAAGTTTTTCTTTTTAGCTTCAATCAAGCTAAAATTTTGCTATTTATCTAAAAAGAGTTTAAAAAATAGAATTGCTTTTGACTGACTACGTTTAATTAGAAATCTCAGAAAATTTAGATGGTTTTTGAGAGAAATTCAAGCGATCAGACATTTTGGTTGATTCTGGCGATATATTACCAATTAAAAGACTTGATCTTTACTTGTAAAGCCTCTACTTGTACTTGTAAAGCATCTTTAACATAAACTTTCTATAATTACAAACTTTTATAAGAATTTTCAGCGTTAAACAGTTTTTTGTTATCTTAAAAGCTGAATTTGATCGAAAAACAAAGTGGCTCCGAACTTTTGAGACACCTTGATGTGTTTTTGTACATGCAAATCCGCAAAATCCTGTAATCATGATGACGAGAGTGAGAATTCGCGGAATTTTCAGATGTGCACGGATTATGCAATTGGAGAGAAGTGGAACAGATGAAAACATTCGTCGAAGAGGCGCTGAGGGTTGGTTTTTGGTTGATGTGCATAGAAAATACTGTGCTTTATATGATTTTGACAAAGTTTTGCTAGCTAATTTGTAATTTAAGTCCTTACTGCTGCGAAATCACGCGAACAACCCGCTCGCTTTCAACATGATGGCCGCAATGAAAGAGGAATTGGAAAAATTGGGTGAGTTATCGGAATTGCACGAAATTGTACACTTAAATTGGCTGGGAAATGTTCGTTTAAAGCTTAGATTCTTGAAAGGTACTAATATTTCTGGATTTAAATAAATAGCCCTTTTTCAGGCCATGAAAACGAGCGATGCCTTGATTGGGTGAGGGTAAACTCGGCTAAAATCCACATTCCGCCGCTTTTCGCCGAGGTGTTCCGGTGAGTTCGAAGTTTTAAAGCCTCCTCCAGCTACCCTAATCTCGCCTGGATTCCTGATCTTTTACTTTTTCCTATTTCCAAGGTTGATACAACAATCTAACGACTACAGTAAAAACTACAGGGCTATTATAATCTGTCAAAAAATTGTAACGAAAACATGCGTCGGTCCTTTTTTGCCGTTGGCAATTGAAGGTTTTTCGTCTTTTTCTCAGCACCAATCCTTTGATTTTGACTATTTTGACTATCATTTGATGCAGAATAAAATTGTGCATCGAATGATACAAAAATTAACTCAAAATATAATATCCACGTAAAATTATGAGGTAAAATGTTAAGTCTCACCCATAATGGGCTGGCTTTAGGCTTTTAGCCAACAACTTTGCGTGGATATTATATTTTGTTAATTTTGGTCTCATTCGATGCGCAATTTTATTGCATTTTATTTTATTCTGATAGTCAAAATCAAAGGCTTGGTGCTGAGAAAAAGACGAAAAAGCCTAAATTGCCAACGGCAAAAAAGGACCGATGCATGTTTTCCTTACAAGTCTAGTAGCTAGCGAACAGATTTTGTCGTCAATATTTTCAGTATCTTTAAATCTTTGTTTCAAATTGTTTGCAGTTCAAAGTTTTCAAATTTTAGAATCTTGCAACACCCAGTTTATCTCCAAATGCCGCCAATCGATCAAAAAACGGAAATGCTTCCGATTTGCGAGCTGAAAGCCCTCTAATTTGTACAGGAAATGTTTTTTTTCATAGTTCTCATAGCTCAATTAAAGCGTTTGTGATTGACATTTGATTAGTTGTTCAGCGTGCAATTCTTCTTTAGGAAGCATTTATGTTTTTTGCCTTATGTGCTTGCAAAAATCGTAGTGGCCACAAGATTTCAAAATGATTTGATCTAGCTTCAAAAATGGGTATTTCTTTGGATTGAAATGTTTTCTGAAAAATGCTCGGAGAAAAAGCTACCCATGGTCCTGTCTTTTCGCAGAATAGTTTATTTAAAAAATAACCTAGGATTACGATAGGTTATCGCATCTTTTAGAAAACGTTTTAATCAAAAGAAATCCATTATCAATTTTCATTTATTGTAGCCAACTTACCCGTGCTTTTTTCGGGCTTCGCTTTTGCCTTTTTTTACGTTAGTTTTCCTGCTTATCGGTGTAATACGAAAAATATTTGGGAAAATTGTGAAAATCTTGAACTTTTTCGACATAGAACTTGTCCGTATACATGAAATTTCAAAAATATCCAAATCAAATCGATTTTCAAAAGATTTTTGCGATAGAAATGTTTCAAAAAATGCCAGAAAACGTGAATTTTTGTCCGTTTTCCAGTTTACAATAGCCTAAAAGTTCATGAGTTTTTTTTCTCAAATTTCTCATTCCCATTTACTGTTTTGCAATTTTTCTTCAAAAATCACAAATTTGTGGTCTTTCATTATCATTTTGATTTCGTTTTCCCTCATCAAAGACATCTCCGACGATTCGGTCTTTCCTTTGCTCAACGCACACAAAATTCGTTTCATTAAAACGCATTTTTCTTTAAAATTTCAAAATTTAGTTTTCTTTTAATTTTTTGTGAGATAAACTTTACACAAAAGTCATAAATAAAAGAACGAAATTCACGTAAATGATAGAAATGACAGATGATCGAATCAATCAGACACTTGAGTCAACAAATGCATGTTTAGATTTACATTCACACAGATTCTTCACACACATTGATTCATTTAATAAAATTTAAAGGAAATTGAAAGTACAATATAAAATGCTGCTATGTTTTGATGTGAAAAGTAGGGTAACATCGACAGCCTGAGTACGGTACGAATACACTTGAACTAAGACACTTTATTCAATAGCCGACTGACTCGCAATTTTTGAGCTTTTCTTGAGTTTTGGGCCCTCACTTGAGAAATTTTCACAAAACATCGACTATTGAATTAAAAGCGACGATAAAAACGGAAAGAATTTCGTCCTAATTAGGACACAACCTTCACACGATGAAAGGAAAGCAGAAAAAAGTAAAAACAACAAAAAAACATCAAATGAACAACAGTTGCCTGTTTTGATGTGAAAAGTAGGGTAACATTGACAGCCTGAGTACGATACGCTTTGCGTAAGCGCACTTTTAAACATGTTAAGCAAAAACCGGGTTTACTGTATCGGGGCTAAGTGTACCGGGATTACTGTGCCGGGTTTACTGTACCTGGATTGCTGTACGGAAATTACCGTGCAGGGATTACTGTACCGGGCTTCTGTAGTGGGATTGCTGTGCCTAGATTCTGTACGGAAATTTCCGTGCAGGGATTACTGTACCGGGCTTCTGTAGCGGGATTGCTGTACCGGGCTTCTGTAGTGGGATTGCTGTGCCTAGATTCTGTACGGAAATTTCCGTGCAGGGATTACTGTACCGGGCTTCTGTAGCGGGATTGATGTACCGGGCTTCTGTAGTGGGATTGCTGTGCCTAGATTCTGTACGGAAATTTCCGTGCAGGGATTACTGTACCGGGCTTCTGTATGCGGATTACTGTGCAGGGATTACTGTACCTGGATTGCTTTGTCGAGACAAATAGCATTCCCGAAATTGTCGCTCAAATGTAATCTGTAGGCTTTGAAGCTAGCTTTTGTCCAGACAAGTAATGTTGATCTTTAAAGTAGCTCTTTCAGAAAAGAGTGCCAAAGAATACGCGGAATTTAGGACGTTGTCCGGGTGAAATCGATCGAATTTGAGCAAATTGATAGTGATTGTTCACAATAAATTCGATTCTCATTGAAGCTCACTGTTCATTGATTTGCTTTTACTACCTTCACTCGTGCGCATTCAACTTCAAATCCCATCTCTTGATAAGCTCCGTCGTGTTGTCAAATCTTTTTCATTTTATCAACATTTCGCCTGAAACTTTATCTGCTTGTAAAATATACCTAAGAGTTTGCAAACCGGTTTATTTCTCTATTCAAAATTGATATAGAAAGCTGATTTTGGATTCTTTCCATATTTGGGATCAAGGTCCAGAGTATCTAGAAATCTAGAACATGATCATAATCATAAAAGAACTCTTTCGAATCTGGTGATTGGTTAGAGAAATCTGGAGAAATTTCCCTATTTCATATGCATCGATCCAATACTTATCTAATTGCAAATCTCAAAACATTAAGCAAAGAATCATTGTGCTGTATTACTTCAAAAAGTTGGGTAAGAGCCTCACTTAACACATTCACGACAACCCGGCCACAGCTAGTAACCATTTAACCTTACCCAATACCTTTTTAATCACCAATCTTTTTTCTAAAATAATCTTGTGTCTAAAAATTAGATACAAGACCTAAGAAAAGAAGGTCGTGCCGATTTAGCAGGGTTTAGGGGCTTATATACGCGGCCCGCCTCCTTTGCCATTGGCAATCTAACTTTAAGCTTAAATATCTTGGTGTTGGGTTGTCCAATTTAAATAATTTTCATACCAATCGACAGAGAAAGACTTGGCGCATCTAATGGTATTAAGAATATTTAAATTGGAGAACCCAACACCGAGATATTTGAATTCAAAGTTAGATTGCCAATGGCAAAAAAAAGGTGTATTAAATCCGATAATCCGATGAGAGGGTTATTTTAAAGAATACCGTAACATCATTTTAGACACGGTCTATGCAAAGATTTACAAAAGTGACTATATGATGATTAAAATAACTCTCTACTATAAACGACTTATAATAGCGGGATCTTAAATGGATTACGGTAGCCGGGGCAGGCTTTGAAGTGCTTTAAAGCGCCTTTTCGTCTTTTGTTTGGAAAAAACTGGAAAGTAATGTGCTAAAAAGAAATACGTACCGTACAAATTTCGAACCAAAATCATTTTCAAGGGAATCTTTTGGTTTGTGATCTCACTAGGTTTGTTTGTTTCAATAAAAGCGTATTCTAAATCATGGAGAAAAATGGCTTTATCAAATTTGAACATATAATGCTTACGGTATAAACTTTACAATAAAAACATTGCCAACAATTCGATATTAACTAGAAGCACATGTAAAAAAGCTGAGCTTTCAATAAAAATCACAATCTGGAATTGATCACATAAGAAAAGCAAAGAAATTCATAAAAAGCAAAGAAATTGAAATAAAAATCTAATAGAAAAGCCAAAAGCTAAGTTGAAAAAGGAAAAATTACCCGATATCTCTGAAATTAACCTGAGCTTTTAACATGAAAAGAAAAAGTGAAAAAGAAACAAAAAGATACGGTCGAGATGATCAAAAAAAAAAGCAAAATTTGATGAGATATTGTATTTAAAGATTTAAAAATAGGGAAAATCCCAGACCGGCCGCTGAAAGCACCACGCGTACTCGTCATAGATCTTGGAAATCATCTAAAACTTTTTTGAAAAAGTCTTGAAAAATTATTTTGTTTTAAAAGAAGGGCAAAATAAATTAAAGGCTGACTGAAAATCAAGCCAAGCCGTAGCAAGATCCAAGTTCAGATCCAGGTTCAGTTCCAGGTCCAGGTCCAGGTTCAGATCAAGATCCAGGTCCAGTTCCAGGTACAGGTCCAGGTTCAGGTTCAGGTATAGGTCCGGGTTCAGGCCCAGGTACAGGTACAGGTCCAGGTCCAGGTTCAGATCAAGATCCAGGTCCAGTTCCAGGTTCAGGTCCAGGTTCAGGTTCAGGTATAGGTCCAGGTTCAGGCCCAGGTACAGGTACAGGGCCAGGTCCAGGTTCAGATCAAGATCCAGGTTCAGTTTCATATCTAGGGCCAGTTCCAGGTTCAGGTTCAGGTATAGGTCCAGGTTCAGGCCCAGGTACAGGTACAGGGCCAGGTCCAGGTTCAGATCAAGATCCAGGTTCAGTTTCAGATCCAGGGCCAGTTCCAGGTTCAGTTTCAGGTATAGGTCCAAGTTCAGGCCCAGGTTCAGTTCCAGGTCCAGGTCCAGGATCAGATCAAGATCCAGGTCCAGTTTCAGATCCAGGTCCAGTTCCAGGTTCAGGTTCAGGTATAGGTCCAAGTTCAGATCCAGTTACAGGTCCAGATCTGGCTTCTGGCCTGAGCTGGCTCTACCTGGTTTGTCCCGGTCCTGTAAGCCAGTCCAGACTTGGCCCACCTGGATACTTTTTATGGAATAAACCTGTAGTAAATCGAATCCAGAATGAGTCAAATGGTTTAGGGCCTGACCTGACTTGGCTTAGAAAAAATGTTTTGGAACAACCCTACGCTTAAGAAACCTATTGAGAAACAGAAACAAAAGACAAACAAAGAAAAAGTTCTTGAGAAACAAAGCCAAACAAGCCAAAAAGAAGTTGTAGAGTAAAGATAGCTTTAGATTTTTTTTTCAAAAAAGAGCTTTACCTTCCTCTCTTTGAAGTTAATCTTTGGATCGGGTGAGGAAATTCTCTCACACAGCTCACACCAATTCTCAGCTTTTTCCACCGCTATATATTCGTCTCTCCATCGAAAATATTCTTTGTAAGCGGTTTCGTTTGATTCGAGATATCTGAAAGCAATGCAAAACATTGATTTTCTTATGTTTTACCTGTTTTTTCTTAAGAATTTACCTTAAATGAGCCACAAAATCTTTGGGTTTCGAGAAATCGTCAACGAAAATGAAAGCACTGGTGGGCAGATCTCTGAAATTCGGAGTTTTGAGCTTTGAGAAAACGGGGAAACAAAGAATTTGAAATTTTGATCGAATTCAATTCAAAATCTTTTAAATCTCAAGGCTCATTTGAATTGTAAACTAATAATTCAATAAAAAACCCATTTATCAGTTAACATTGTTAGCTAATTTTGTACCAAATTTGCCTCAATTTGCCTGTTCCAAATTTGCCTCCATTTGCCTGTTCAATCTTTTACTTTTTCCTATTTCCAAGGTTGATAATAAGTTCTCTTGTAGTTTCTTTTTCTATTATTTATTCTTTTTTTTGATTTTACATTATCCTTTTAAATCTAAACTCAAAAAGAAAGTTGAGAAAAATGTGGGAAATTTTGAGAATTTTTGATTCTTAGTTTTGTATTTCTTTAAGGATATTACATAGAAGTTTTTGTAAATTTAAATAATAATCTTTGAAGTTTTTTACGCCTAAAAAGCTTTATTTTAGTTGGATAGCTTCTGTTAAACTCTTTTTTTACATACCAGTCTTTATAAATTTCCAATGTAAAGATCCCATAGATTTATAGAGATTTATTCAAAGTTGATCCCACGGTTAATTCAAGGAGAGGTTCTTTCGTTTTCGAAATTCCATTCACCTTCAATAAGTTTGTGTATAACTCTTTTCTAATAAGAATTCCAATAAGAACTGCCAGAATTTGGAATCGACTCCCCAGAGTTTTGAGAGAGTCCAATAATCTCGAAACCTTTAAATTGTCTGTAGATGAGCTTGATCTTGATCTTGCTTTTGATCTTGCTTTTGATCTTGATCTTGATCTTGATCTTGATCTTGATCTTGAAGCTCTAGTGGATTTTTGACGTTATCTGTACTACTCTGTGGATTCTTGACGATCGTTAGCTGTGTTATCGGAGCACGAATTTAGCACTTTTAGCATAGGTTTGTTCGTAACTCTTTTCCAATAAGAACTGCCAAAATTTGGAATCGACTCCCCAGAGTTTTGAGAGAGTTCAATAATCTCGAAACCTTGAAATTATCTGTAGATGATCTTGATCTTGAAGTTCTAATCGATCCTTGACGTGACCTGTACTACTCTGTGGATTCTTGACGATCGTTAGCTGTGTTATCGGAGCACGAATTTAGCACTTTTAGCATAGGTTTGTTCGTAACTCTTTTCCAATAAGAACTGCCAAAATTTGGAATCGACCCCTCAGAGCTTTGAGAGAGTCCAATAATCTCGAAACCTTTAAATTGTCTGTAGATGAGCTTGATCTTGAAGCTCTAGTGGATCCTTGACGTTATCAGTTAACGTTGTTAGCTAATTTTTCTACCAATTTTGCTTCAAGATTTTTCCAAGAGGATAAGCTGTCTTGTAGTGTGTTTTTATAAATTTAAATAATAATCTTTAAAGTTTTTTACGCCTAAAAAGCTTTGTCTTAGTTGGATAGCTTCTGTTAAACTCTTTTTACATTCCAGTTTTTATAAATTTCCATTCTAAAGATCCTATAAATTTGTCGGAAAAAGTTTGTTAAGAAAAAAATTTCTATGAAGAAGTCCGTGCTCTTTGTCGTCTCCGTGGTACTATAATATTTTAGATTTATGAAAAAATTATAATAATTTAAATTTGGGTAGATCGTGTCATTTAACAAGGTCATTTAGCTAATTTTTAGCCAAATTTGAGACGAATTGAGCAAATTTGAGTCAAATCCGAACGGGAATTCGTGTTTTTCACGAAATTACAATGCAAAGCATTACAATTACAATGCAAAGCATTACGTTTATCAGTTGATTCATTTATAAACGAAAAATTTTGAATGTAAATGCCTTAGTGTAATGTTATGCAAATTTTGATTGAAATTTTGCCTAAATTTGTCGATCTATGCAAATTTTCATTTTCTATCTTTGATCTTTTAACGAAAAAAAATAGATTCCTTTGATGAGATCATGATTTTAAATCTAAATAGCTGTGGAAATCTTTGAGAAATCGATTCATTGATGATTTTCTTATAATTCATCCTTCACAACATTTGCGATCTCGTTTTGAACAGATCATTTCATTGATCATTAACAATTGAACAGATCATTTCATTGATCATTAGCAATTGAACAGATCATTTCATTGATTATTAACAATTGAACAGATCATTTCATTGATCATTAGCAATTGAACAGATCATTTCATTGATCATTGACAATTGAACAGATCATTTCATTGATCATTAGCAATTTAACAGATCATTTCATTAATCATTGACAATTGAACAGATCATTTCATTGATCAGTAGCAATTGAACAGATCATTTCATTGATCATTAACAATTGAACAGATCATTTCATTGATCATTGACCATTGAACAGATCATTTCATTGATCATTAGCAATTTAACAGATCATTTCATTAATCATTGACCATTGAACAGATCATTTCATTGATCATTAGCAATTGAACAGATCATTTCATTGATCATTAGCAATTGAACAGATCATTTCATTGATCATTGATCATTGAACAGATCATTGAACAGATTACAGAACAGATTCAGAACAGATCCTACAAAAAGTGCTTAAATCTGAAATTTTCATCGTTTTTCGTCTCCTTGACTTTAAAGCTTTTAAAAAAAGTCGACTAACGCGAGCTTTTCAGAATTTCTTAAAGAGAAATTTGTAAATAAATAATAGGAATTTCTGATAAAAAAAGCCATAGATCGATTGGTTTATTATTTATTTCAAAAATTAACCTTTAAAAAAGCGAACAGACTTTCCGGCAAACTTGTTACAACTAGACTACATTTAACCGTACTATTAGAGTTGTTTAGTTCTGAAATATTGAGCATGACTTCAGTTTTTGTTGATCTAAGACAAAGTGTTACAATGAAACGATGTTTTACATAATTATACTCAAAACTCACCATCAAAACTCTCATAATAGCCTTTCATTTTCATGAATAAACTTGATTTGAATAGATTTTGATTTCAGATTTTGATTCTAAATCTAAATAGCTGTGGAAATCTTTGAGAAATCGATTCATTGATGATTTTCTTATGATTCATCCTTCACAACATTTGCGATCTCGTTTTGAACAGATCAACTAGACTATTACAGCTAGACTATTGCTAGAAAAATGATTGAATTGAATTCTAAATAACTCACACTTCTTCATAAACAGCTCTCCGAAGTCCGATCGGAATCGAATCATATCCAATTCTCCTGTACGTTTTCTCGGTCACATACCCAAAGCAATCGCTGTTCTCGAAAACGAAGTGAAAGAGTCGTTCTGAGATCGTCAATTTTGCAAAATTTCAGTAGTTAGAATCCTATTTACGTGCGGTTTAAAGGAACTGGCGCGAAAGCGGCGCGTCGCGTTTTTTAAAGCCTGGATACACTACCGTACCCCTCACAAAAAGCCCCTTTTGCCATTCTTTTTCTGCCATTCTTTCATTTTCTCTTTCTAAACTTAGCTTAACCAATTCGAATTTCAATTAAAACGCATAAAATCTACCAAATCAAATCAGCGCGATCTTCTTGGGGTTCTTAGGTTTTGTGTCTAATTATTTTAGAATAAAGGATTGATGAGTGATAGGGTATTTGATAAGGTTAGATATGAGGTTGTTCGGATATAAACAAGCGTTGCTAAAATTATTGTTGTGAGAGAAGCTTTTAAAACATGTCTTTCTGTATTTAAAAGTACGTTAGCTTGTGTATAGTTGGAATCTTTTTAAATGGATAATTTCTTATTTTTAAGATCTTTTTTCTTGCTTTAGATGACCGACTTCAAATATCAAGTTCTGCCTACTTTACGACTTCAAACTGGGCAAAACAGTAGTGGAATCCCATTGAGATCTGGTCAAAGCATTTGGGAATGATAGGAATGATGCCTAAGCCTAAGCCTGAGCTTCAGCCGAAAGCCGATGTCGAGCTTGATTCCAACGCTTTCGGAATGGTGATGAAAGTCTCGAGGATGATGAACACTCTCATGATGAACACGTCGACCTCAAGCGGTAGATATCGATATTTTGAGGACTGCAATCGAATCGGATCCATGTCAAACGAACTTGCTCCACAGTTTCTATGTTCAAATTCTACTATTTCTTAGCCAATCTTTGACAATCTTTGACATGATGAACACGTCGATAGAAATGATGCCTAAGCCTAAGCCTTAGCGGATGAGCATCGCCAAGCGGGTGTCCCTTAGCTCCGAGAACTGGCTGAGATCTAGTAAATGGGAGTTTAGCCCAAACCCAAATAGACTTAGTGCTAGGCGCTAGCCGCTAGCCTTCGCACTAAGTCCAAGCCTAAGTCTAAGTCTAAGTCTAAGCCTAAGCCTAAGCCTTTGAGGACTGCAATCGAATCGGATCCATGTCAAACAACGCGTGAACTTGCTCGACAGTTTCTATATTCAAATTCTACTATTAGTGAGCATCTCCACGCCATTGGAAAGACGATCAGATGCAGGAAATGGCTTAAGGCTTAAGAGCTCATTGGAGAGACGATCAGATGGCTTAAGAGCTCACGAGTTAAGCAGTGCAAACACTCGTTTATCTCCGAACAACCTAATATTAATTTTAGCAAACTTTATAATATTGAAATATTGAAAACCGTTTACTTTAATTTCGAATTTATTAAGTGAAAGCCTTTTCTTTAAACTTTTAAACCCTATTTACTAAAGAATTTGCTTTAGACAAATAGACTTAGTGCTAGGCGCTAGCCGCTAGCCTTCGCACTAAGTCCAAGCCTAAGTCTAAGTCTAAGTCTAAGTCTAAGTCTAAGCCTAAGCCTAAGCCTAAGTCTAAGCCTGAGCCGAAAGCCTAAGCCTAAATCTAAGCCTAAGCCGAAAGCCGATGCCGAGCCTGATTCCAACGCTTTCGGAATGGTGATGAAAGTCTCGAGGATGATGAACACTCTCATGATGAACACGTCGACCTCAAACGGTAGACAACGATCCTTTGAGGACTGCAATCGAATCGGATCCATGTCAAACGATGCGTGAACTTGCTCACCAGTTTCTATGTTCAAATTCTACTATTGATGAGCATCTCCACGCCATTGGAAAGACGATCAGATACGGGAAATGGCTTCCTCGCTAGTTAAGCAGTGCAAACACTCGTTTATATCCGAACAACCTAATAGTTGCTAACTTGATAACTTTTTTGACCTTTTTTTGCTTAAAAAACCCACTCTCAATCTCTTTCTTCACCACTTCGTCACAATCTGGTCGGCCTTTTGCACAAAAGTTCTTGAATTGTCTTTTCCGACCACAGCTACCGAACATATCAACCGGGTATTCTCTAAAAAGTTTGATCTTCAATTTAGATTATTTTAAATTATTCAAATTATTGTTTAAATTAGCTTACCTTTGAATCTTTTCAATGATTTCCCATCTCCTGTCATCTCCCAAGTAAGGACAATTCGAAACAAGACCGAAAATCGATTTTGTTTTGTTTACAAACGAATCGAATGATGGAAGTGGGTAGTTTTTTGTTGGCTGAAGAGTTCGAGAAGACGTTCCATCAAATGCTGATCTAAGATTGTAAAAAATATTATGATATCTAGTTCAATTGCCAATTACCAAACAATATAGCGACAAGTTTTTCGAAAAGTATCTGATAAATGTCTAATTTATTGCAAAAGTGTCAAGTGTTTTATAGAGAATTGTAGCCCTTAATCTTGGCTACATTTATCTACAAAAAACTTCCTGATTAGACTTATACAACTCATTTAACAAGTGCTTGAATGAGCGCTAGTCGGCATTTCTCCCAAATCTGTCATTTCGCCGCTTTTCAACAATAAAAAATTTCCTTTGGGAAGATTTTTTCAACAAATTTATAGCGTAAGAACAGCTGATATAAGTTCTTTTTATCTGTAAGCTATTTACATTTATATTTACAGTACTTTCCCTTTACAGTAAAACTATGTACCGCGAATTATAGCGACACCTTTTTTGGAAAAGTATCTGGGAAATATCTCATTTATTTGAAAAGTGTCAATTGTTATATAGAGAATTGTAGCCCTTAATCTTGGCTACATTTATCGACCAAAAGCTTTCCAATGAGACTTATACAACTCATTTTAACAAGCCCTTGAATGAGCGCTAGTCGGCATTTCTCCCGAATCTGTCATTCGGCCACTTTTCTCTATTCTTTTCCAAAAAGTTGTCGTTATAATTCGTCCGGTATTATCGTAATCTCTACTTTTTCACAAATTCGATTCCACCATATGTTAATCGGATATCGGAATGAGTTGAGAAGGACATTGTGCGATTGAAATAATCACCTGAAAAGGACTTGAGGAAAAGTTGAGTTTGAAAGGTTGAAATCTTGGGTTTGTAGGATTGAACTCGATGATTGAATGTATATAACGGATGATTGAAGGGGTTTAGAAAGAAGAGGACCAAGAACTCACGAGAAAATTTGAAATATCCAACATTCTCACGAGCTTCCATCGTCCAAAAGAGATAGATTTGATGCTGAAAAGAGTGATGCGTCTATTCTTTTTTTTAAGTGCTCAAATCAAAGTCGTTTATATGTTCTGTTCATGTTCCTTTTCTTTCTAATCCCTTCAATACCTGCTTTCTATACATTGGATGCGGTAAATCGTTCATATCTCGTGAATGAAAAGCCACCACATCGGCTAAACGAATGAAACGTCGATCTGTCGTCAAGAAACACGTACCCTAAACCAAATTCTATTCAATTTTTCAAAGTAAAAACTCCTCACATTTAAAGAACATTGATCACGACGAAGAAAGAAAGGATCGGCACCGAAAAACGCGTTCCACGCGAGGATGATCTTTTGGTGTCTAAAGGAAAGCTTAAAGATAAAGATAAAGGTTCTCATTTAGCAGATAAAGGTTCTCATTTAGAGTTAGACTTCTAGGCTTCTAGAGTTGCTAGGCTTCTAGAGCTAGACCAAGGTGTGTCATAGTTATGAGCTTGAAGGTGTCAGCTTTACCTGTAATTATTTAATGCCATCTATCTGTTGTTATTCTATATCTTTTGCTTTTTTCATGTTTACCCTTGTTATTTAATCTAATTTCTAAAATTCTAAAGGATTTCCGGAAAAAAGTGGTCATCGGTTTAAGTGTGGAAAAATTTTCTCGTTGATTTTTCAAGGCTCATCGTGGTGTCATTGGTTTTGCCTCAGGTGCCACACAACAAGATGAAGTTGTTTTTTTTGATGATGCTTGTGAATAGATGGTCATGCATGAGCTGGGGAGCTCAAAAGTCCACAGGTTCCATGAAATACATACATGAAAAACACACTTTTGAATTCCTCTACTTCATCACAAAACTTTCTACTTTTTGTTTCTATAAATTTGCTCTTTCCACTTCTAGAACTTACAGAAACGGTCCAAAATCTTTTGGATTTGAGTTACTAAATGTTTATACTTAACAACCTTTAAAGATATTTTTATTTAGTCCATCTGCATGGGAAGATTGAGTCAAAAACGTTTGTCTAGGTTATTTCTAGTCACTGAATGCAAGTTTTAACACTTATTTATAGTTTTTCGAGCATAAATCTATTGGGTTGGTGAATTGAAAACTGCGGGACTTTGAACACAGAAACAGAAAGAGTAGATTTCACAGATTTCACAGAAAGAGTAGAGCCAAAGCCTTTTAGTCAAACCAAGTCATATCCGTAAAGAAATGGGAAAGATTTAGCTTAGAAATTCCAAATGTTATTGGATTGGTGAATTGAAAACTGCCGGACTTTGAACTAAAATTTATTCAACATAAAACCATGAATTCATTCCAAATAATTTCCATTATTATTGACGACTTCTGCCCATTTTACAGCCAATTTGCGGATTCCTCTTTCGTAGTAGGATTTTGGTTTGTGTGTGTGACAAGTGTGAGACTCAAAAATCGAGGACTGGAGGTGTCAGCCGTCAGCCCAGTTTGAGCACTTTCTTCAAAAGAAACCCATTTTGGTGTCAATAGAAAAGTTGTAGAGAATCAAAAATTAGGCTTATAGCCAAATTTCCAAAAAGATACACTTAGTAATTTCGTTTAAAATGCAAGTTTTGTGAAAATTTGGCATTTCTTTTGTGCAAATTTGGCATTTCTTGAAAACCAGCTTTTGAATCGTTCTGAAAATTTGGATATAAGCTTAATTTTTGATTCTCTACAACTTTTCCATTGACACCAAAATGGGTTTCTTTTGAAGAAAGTGCTCAAACTGTCACATCTGACAATAGCCAGCGGTTTTCAATTCAACAACCCAATAGTACCAATTTAATTCTCTGAGCTCATCGATTTTCGAGTTACAATTGATCTTGTACTAGATTTACCGGATCTAGTACTAGATTTGTTCATGATTCTTCACGTAACTGATCTTTTAGAAGTACTAAAAGTACTAGATCTTTTGAAGTACTGAAAGTACTAGATAAATTGTTAGATCAAGGCGTTTTGCTGCTTTTAAGTTATAATCTCGAGACAAATCATTCCTTTATTGTGTCAAAAGTTTACCTGTAAGCAGTCGTTTCTTCAGTCAGCACTTGTTCACTTGTCCAATAATTGTCATTGTCGACGATGAGAAAAACGAAGCAAATTAGCAAAAGCAAGAGGAATGGTTTTCGCCATTTTTTCATCTTCATAGCTATCCATCAAGGAATCTGAAATTTCGCTTGAATTCTTCAGAATTGATCAAGTCGTATTGAGATTTACAGAAAATGCAAAGTTAAATGAATATCTTTAAAAAATCAGACACAGAAATCGACGAAAATACGATTTAGAAACAGATGGAAGCTCTTTTTCTCGGCCAATCGATTTCAGAAAAAAAAAGATAAGAATAGAAAGACACTTTATAGCACGATTTTATGCATAAAGTGAAGTGTTTGTTTTTGAGAAAAAGCGGAAAAAGAGAGATTTTCCAAGGAAAAGCTAGCCAATACAAGTTTTTACAAGTCTTTCGTTAAAATTCTTTGTTTTTAAACAATTCTGACTTACAGGCGCTGTTAATCGATTGTTCATTTCAATTCATTTCAACTTTGCTTCAAAAAGAACATTGAAAACATTGAAAAACTCGTTTTCTCAAATGAATTGGAAGTTATTTTATCGATTTATTTATAGAATTTTTAGAGAAATTGAGGAAATTTGCTTGTTAAATAAAAAACGATTGCATTTTCTTCGGCTTTTATTTCATCTGACTTTAAGTACAGTTCTTACACATAAGTATACAAAAGAAATTGTACTTTTTTTTGAACCAAATTTGATGAGGATCATTTTAAAACCAACCTCAAGTTGATCTGATTACTGGGGGTCGAGTTATAGAGTAAAATAGAAAGGTGCGCTAAAGTGCCATTTTGACTATAGAAAAACGGCATTTTAGAGCAACTACTCTTCAAGACTGTTTTCCTCTATGTTTTTATTAATGAGTATACAAAGTTATTGTATCGATATTTTTATAGAATTTTTAGAGAAATTGAGGAAATTTGCTTGTTAAATAAAAAAATGATTGCATTTTCTTCGGCTTTTATTTAATCTAACTTTAAGTACAGTTCTAAAATTAAACAAAAGGATAAGAATTGATAAATGATGCAGAAAAGTCGCTCTTTTCTGTGAGATCGCATTTGATGCTTTGATTTTGAGCAATACAAAGTGGGCTCCGTCCCTTTTTATCAAACAAACGATCTTTAGAGGAAGGAGAAGAGAATCAGAGATACCGTATTTTCTCTAATAGTACCCCGGCGAGCCGAGTTGATGACTATTTTACGGTTTCCAAGCTTTTGCAGAAGCTCAACACTCAAATCTCCTACTAGATCTCATCGTCAACTACATTTTCCGACCCCACATCGATAGGTTCTGATAAGCGCTTCTCGAGATTTCGAGCAATTTAGGCAACGCTCAGGGTGGACTACTATTAGAGAGAATACGGTATTCAAAATCAAAGCATCAAATAAGGTTTTCGCAGAAAAGAGTTACTTTTCTACACAAAAAACCTCTGTGAAATCTCATTTGATGCTTTGATTTTGAAAATCTGATTCACTCTGATTCACCTCTAAAGATCGTTTGTGTAATAAAAAGGGGACGGAGCCCACTTTGTATTCTTTTCCTTTTGGCTTCGAAACTGAACACTCAGCCAACGATTGATTCTATTGGGTTGATGCATAATTATCCGGACTTCTTTTATAAATGATTTTATTTAACAAAAAAATAACATAAATAGTTAGAAAAATATGTTTAATTGATTATTCTGGAGCATATTCACCGCCTACATCAATAACTGATTGCCATTTGCTTGGAAGACGATCGATTCCACGAGCGAAGAATAAACGATCTTTGGAGGCAATCCACGCTTTAACATCGTCTATCAAGTCATCCAAATCGTTGTAGATCTTATTTGTTTGCCAATTTTTGAGCGATCGATTGACGTGGTAGTCCGTTGGGGCTTCAGTAGGAGAATATGGCGGGTGTGGAAGAAGATCCCAGCCCTTACTAGCGATGGATTCGACGACATGGCGCTCAACGTGCGGACGTGCGTTATCGTGGTGAAAGACGATGTTGTTCTTTTTGCGCGGTCTTCGTGCCTGAATTGCAGCATGTAAGCGTTCAAGTTGTGCCAAGTAGACGTCACTATTGATGTTCAATTGCTTCTTGCCATTTTTGTCTGGAATTCGCCATTGCTCACGTTCATCATCGTCATTCCACCAATAACAGATGCCGTTAGAGATGATTTCCCAGTGGATGATTCCGCTTCTGTCCCACCATACACACCACATTGCTTTCTTACAGTGGACATCTTTCGGTATTCCTTTAGGTGAAACACCTGGCGACACGCAGACTTTCTTTCTCTTGAGGTTCTTGAACAACAGCCATGATTCATCGCCTGTGACGAGATTCTTCAAAAACGGTGCTTCCTCGTTTCGTTGCAACAAATCGGTGAAAATTCGAAGGCGATCTGCTTGGTTCTTCTCGGAGAGTTCGTGTGGGACCCATCCAGCCAATTTCCATACTTTGCCAAGCTTTTTGAGATGGCGCACGATCGTTGACTGGTCAACATTGAATTCATCTGCCAGCATTCTGGTTGTCAGGCTTTCGTCTTCTTCAACGGCTTCCAGAAGTGCCTTGTCATCGAATTCTGATGGCCGTCCTCTTCCTGGTTCATCATCAACACTTGTGTTACCGGACTTGAAACGATCGAACCATTCATAAACTGTTGCACGTCCAATTGTTCCTTGACCAAAAAGTTCTTTGAGATCGCGAAACGACTCTGCGGCAGACCATCCCTTTTCGAAGTGGTAGAGCATGATATGGCGAAGATGGATATGATTGTCGACACGCATTTTGTTCACTAAAGAATAACGAATATTTAAAAAAAAGAAATAGACAAAAAGCTTTCAAAACAAAAAAGATACAAGCACGCAAAAAGAAGTCCGGATAATTATGCATCAACCCAATATATTGTGATTGTGCTAGATTTGGAATAAAATATTTAAATAATCATTGCCCCATCGGTTTCCCCCTGGACAGATTTTATTTTGAGATTATTTAAAAATAGAGATTTTTGTTTCTCCCATTCTTTGTATAAAAAGCATCAAATAAAAAGAAAATGATAGTTATCGAAAAAATGGAAAACAATACATAGTTGCTTTAGCTTTAGAGCATAAAAAGGCTTCAATTAGTTCTCAAAACAGTAACTCTGTTGTTGATGATGATGAAATCGACTTGATGAGCGATAGATTAGCCAAAATGTTTCATTTTGTATTGCTTTTCTTTGGCTTTGAAACACTAAACTTTGAAACATTGTTTCTATATTGTGATTGTGCTAGATTTGGAATAAAATATCTAAATAATCATTGCCCCATCGCCTCTCACGCCTCTGCAAAATGCAGATTAAATGATAAAGCTAAAATAAACAAATTTTTAGAAAGATTTCAAAAGGAGACTCAAGTTTATCAACTTGAAAAGTTCCGTTCCTCTACCAGAAAGTCAGTTTTTTAGTTTCTCAACTTATCATAAGCCAGTTTTTTTAAATTAAAGAGTGATAAATGTCAAAAAAAAAACTTAAATCGATATTCAAAGTAACAATTGGCCTATTAGGCATTTTTCTGCCAATGAAAATGAGTATGAATGAGAAAAGAAAAACAGAAAGAGACCCACTTTTGCCTATAATATTCTCCCAGGCGACACCTAGGCAACATTGTCTTTTTTTCCGAAAAAGAAACGTAGTGAGGAAATTTCCGTTTGAAAAGTTCGAAAGTGCGGAAAAGTTTTAATATTAATGTTTTATAAAAGTTAAAATGTCTAATATAGCGTTAGTAATCAAAAAAAGAGATTAAAACATGCAATACTTTTGAGAGTGACACGAGAAGGTTGGAGAAGGCTACAAGGCTGAGGTGGGCAGTTCCTTTCATTCTGCTGTGCGTGAGAGGGTACCGATCGGGCAATGATTATTTGAATATTGATTCCGAATATAGCAAAATCACTAATCTAGCGAGAAAATAGAATCAATCGCTGGTTCTGTGTGTGTCAAAGCCAAAGAAAAGCAATACAAAGTGGACTCCGTCCCTTTTTATCACACAAACGATCTTTAGAGGAAGGACAAGAGAATCAGAGATATTCAATCCCAATCTTCCTGACAATATTCTTTCAGTAAGAGATTTAATTGTAAGTAAGCTTAAAAACCTTTAACATACGGTATTTTCTCTAATAGTAGTGCACTCAAGCGAGCCGAGTTGATAACTATTTTACGGTTTTCAAGCTTTTGCAGAAGCTCAACACTCAAATCCCCCACTAGATCTCATCGTCTGCTACATTTTCCGACCCCACATCGATAGGTTCTGATAAGCGCTTCTCGAGATTTCGAGGAATTTAGGCAACGCTTAAGATGCACTACTATTAAAGAGAATACGGTAGATAGCTACATAACTAAATAACGATAGGTTCGATAGGTTCTGGTTCTCGAGATTTCGAGGAATTTAGGCGACGCTCAGGGTGCACTACTATTAGAAAAAGCTACCTAAAGATTATTTTCTTGATTCCGTCAGAGTTCGATTTCTTCAGCCGGACTTAAAGTCTTAATTACCGGACATTTTATTTATATTTTCTCTAATAGTAATGCACCGGTGCAGCCGAGTTAATGACTATTTTACGGTTTCCAAGCTTTTGCAGAAGCTCAACACTCAAATCCTTCACTAGATCTCATCGTCAGCTACATTTTCCGACCCCACATCAATAGGTTCTGATAAGCGCTTCTCGAGATTTCGAGCAATTTAGGCAACGCTTAAGATGCACTACTATTAAAGAGAATACGGTATTCAAAATCAAAGCATCAAATAAGATTTTCGCAGAAAAGAGCTACTTTTCTGCACAAAAACCTTATATAAAAGGAAAATCTCAAAAATAATATTCAAAATCCAGTTACCTATACGATACAATGAGATACAAATACTATACAATGGAATTGAAATGAGATTCATTGATGATTCGTTGATGATTCATTGCCTTTCCCCTGAATGAATGAACACATAAGAAAGGCAGATGACATCAGCATATGGCATATGACATTTAATTTCTTACATTTTAGAGAGATTTTTATGAATCATCTCTTCGGAATTTACTTGCAAAATTCATTAAATTTTTTTGTTTTCAAGTTTCAAAGCGATAAAAGCTTATGAGATTGGTTATCATATAAAAGATCTTACTTTCAAAAACTAAATTAAAGTTTAAATGAATGGACAATCCTGAATGGTTTTTTAATCTTTTTTTTTGTGAGAAATTTGACTGTAAAACAGTTGGAAGAGCTTTTTCGAATAAAAATTCGCAATTCTATTTGATTTCTGTGAATGCTGAAACAATGTTTTTCAATTTTTTATTAAATTTTGCTAAACTGTGATGAAGTTTCGATTTGATTGTGGGAAAATAAGGATTACTTCGATTTACATAAATTTTCTTTACTGATATATTAGGTTGATGCATAAGTGTTTTTGTTCCTTTTCGTCTGCCGTTTCAAGCCAACAAATGCACCAATTAAACTACGGTTGATTTCATTAGAAAAACGAATTATTTTTCTGCAAAATAACATTAAGTTGTTGATCTAGTTGTTGATCTAGTTCTTCATCTAGTTCATCTAGTTCTCCATCTAGTTCTTCATCTAGTTGTTGATCTGGTTCTTCATCTAGTTCATCTAGTTCTTCATCAAATTCTTCATCAAGTTCCCCATCTAGTTCTTCATCTAGTTGTTAATCTAGTTCTTCATCTAGTTCATCTAGTTCTCCATCTAGTTCTTCATCTAGTTGTTGATCTGGTTCTTCATCTAGTTCATCTAGTTCTTCATCAAATTCTTCATCTAGTTCTCCAGCTAGTTCTTCATCAAGTTCCCCATCTAGTTCTTCATCTAGTTCATCTAGTTCCTCATCTAGTTCATCTAATAGGTTGATGCATAAGTGTTTTTGTTCCTTTTCGTCTGCCGTTTCAAGCCAACAAATGCACCAATTAAACTACGGTTGATTTCATTAGAAAAAGCAATTATTTTTCTGCAAAATAACATTAAAACGGGTTTAAAAATATTTAATGCCTGGATTTTCTTGAGAGTATGAAGTCGGGTAGTCAAAAAGGGCTAACTCGATGATGCGGTTTAGACACCTTAGCTAAAGAAAACCTATCTTCGTGTCAATAGATAAAAGATAGAGAAAAAAAAACGTTTGATATTTCGCCAAAATTTCTGAGAAATTCATTCAGCCAATTTTTCCGTAGAGCTTTTTTATAGATTTTTACGAAAAAGGCGTTTTTCACTCTCGAATTTGCTTGAAAGTGAACCGAAATTCATTTAAAAAGATGCAAATTGAACAAAAAAACACTTTTTTTATAGAGCAAACTATAGATTAATTGGTGAATATTTGTTACTTTTTAACAGAAGTACGAAAAAAACGAAAAGACTTATGCATCAACCTATTAGTAGATAGATCCAGATCGAACAATCCAATCGGACACGAGAAGAAGTTAAAATCAACACTTTGTTCACTTGTAAAATGTAAAAAGAGCAAAGCGAGTTAAAAAAAGGTTTTGTTTCGCTTTTGTTTTTGTTTTTTTGCTAAACACAAAGACAGATCTAATCTAAAGTTAGATTTTTTCCCAAGTGTGCGTTTTAAAAAAACGCATTACTCGCGAGGAGCACACTCTACTCCTGTCTGCACTACTATTACAGAGAATACGATAAGAAATCACCAAAGCAACAATCACCAAAGCAACAAGATTTATTTTCAACAAAAAAAATTGGCATCAAAATGAATCTGAATGAACCATTTGTCCAATCGGTTTTATCCACTTTGTCTAAATCTCGTAATTCTAGTTCTTTCTTTCATTTCTTTCATTTCTTTTCATACCTAGCATTCACATATGAATCATCAATTGAGAGTGGATCGTGATGAGAACGATCAAGCCGACCCAGACAAACCTCAATCCCGTGAGCCTGTTCGATCAATGTGCACACGAAGAGAATCGAAAAATGTGATTATAGCTAGATTTTTATGCATTTGTGCAAAAGCAAAACGATTTATTTTCTATTCGTCCGTTTTCTGCTACACGTTTGGGTTATCGCTTTCTATATAACGTAATTATTCTAATAGAATGGCACCCTCCAATAGATTTCTCCAATAGATTCTCCCTGACTCCACGAAAATCGATTTTTCCGAGCTCTTGATCATCTTTTTTTTCTACTTCTGCTTAGAAATAACAAAGCTATCAATGATTTCCCAGCTACCAATGATCCAATGAAGTTTTTTGTTTATTTTTCTAGCTTTTTAAGCCAATTTTGATTCGTTTCCAACCAAAATCGAGTGTAAAAACTCGTTTTTCGTAAAAAATCTTTTAAAAAGTTGGCAGAGGTCATTCGGAAATCTAACTTTTCGTGCTCTATATAGCCATTGTTGACACAAAAGAGCTGTTCAGATTACCGTACTGTTTAGCTGATACTTGTTACCTATACTTGTACTTGTTATGGTAAAAATGATAATGAGTTTTACCATAACAAGTACCAAATTTGCAATTTCATAAGAAAGCAGAAATCTTCTGAAGCTCACTTTCGAAGAAAAAGTGTTTCGCGGGGTTTTTTTCACTATAATATTGAAGATTTCCTCCGATTACCTGTCCTCCGTAACACATGCAAAGCACAAGATATCCACCAATCGTATCGAGTACACTGAATGACTCTAAACAAAATATGATTTGATTTTTGTGAAAGTCCCACCGATGAATGCAATAAATCGCACAAAAGAGATAAATGCCTAAAATGTTTGCTTTAAATTAAGCATTAGAAAAAGCTGACCGTGAAAAAGTCGTATTCTTTGTAAGCGACGACGAGAATAGTGCCGGCAATGATGTAAATGGTGAGGCAGATTATGAAAAGAACTAAATAATGGTCTATTGAAAGGTTAACTAGGGAATAGTCAGTTTTCAGAAACGAATTTGACTCAAACCTGTATGACTTAGCATTTTTACTGAAAAATAGCCGATTTTTGTCTATTTTTGTTCCGAATTTGGTTTCGAGTTGTTTCTCATCGTTTTCATTTGGTTCCCATTTGGTTCCAATCTGGTTAATGAATGGACTTTATTTAGGTTCCCAAGCTTTACTAGGTTCCCATTTGGTTCCTATTGGACTCCCATTTGGTTCCTATTTGGTTCCTCATTGGACTCCCATTTGGTTCCCATTTGGTTCCTATTGGACTCCCATTTGGTTCCTATTTGGTTCCCATTTGGTTCCTATTGGACTCCCATTTGGTTCCTATTGGACTCCCATTTGGTTCCTATTGGACTCCCATTTGGTTCCTATTGGACTCCCATTTGGTTCCTATTTGGTTCCCATTTGGTTCCTATTGGACTCCCATTTGGTTCCTATTGGACTCCCATTTGGTTCCCATTAGGTTCCCATTTGGTTCCTATTGGACTCCCATTTGGTTCCTATTGGACTCCCATTTGGTTCCTATTGGACTCCCATTTGGTTCCTATTGGACTCCCATTTGGTTCCTATTGGACTCCCATTTGGTTCCCATTAGGTTCCCATTTGGTTCCTATTGGACTCCCATTTGGTTCCTATTGGACTCCCATTTGGTTCCTATTGGACTCCCATTTGGTTCCTATTTGGTTCCCATTTGGTTCCTATTGGACTCCCATTTGGTTCCTATTGGACTCCCATTTGGTTCCCATTAGGTTCCCATTTGGTTCCTATTGGACTCCCATTTGGTTCCTATTGGACTCCCATTTGGTTCCTATTGGACTCCCATTTGGTTCCTATTGGACTCCCATTTGGTTCCTATTGACTCCCATTTGGTTCCCATTAGGTTCCCATTTGGTTCCTATTGGACTCCCATTTGGTTCCTATTGGACTCCCATTTGGTTCCTATTGGACTCCCATTTGGTTCCTATTGGACTCCCATTTGGTTCCTATTTGGTTCCCATTTGGTTCCTATTGGACTCCCATTTGGTTCCTATTGGACTCCCATTTGGTTCCTATTGGACTCCCATTTGGTTCCCATTAGGTTCCCATTTGGTTCCTATTGGACTCCCATTTGGTTCCTATTGGACTCCCATTTGGTTCCCATTAGGTTCCCATTTGGTTCCTATTGGACTCCCATTTGGTTCCTATTGGACTCCCATTTGGTTCCTATTTGGTTCCCATTTGGTTCCTATTGGACTCCCATTTGGTTCCTATTGGACTCCCATTTGGTTCCTATTGGACTCCCATTTGGTTCCCATTAGGTTCCCATTTGGTTCCTATTGGACTCCCATTTGGTTCCCATTAGGTTCCCATTTGGTTCCTATTGGACTCCCATTTGGTTCCTATTGGACTCCCCATTTGGTTCCTATTGACTCCCATTTGGTTCCTATTTGGTTCCCATTTGGTTCCTATTGGACTCCCATTTGGTTCCTATTGGACTCCCATTTGGTTCCTATTGGACTCCCATTTGGTTCCTATTGGACTCCCATTTGGTTCCTATTGGACTCCCATTTGGTTCCCATTAGGTTCCCATTTGGTTCCTATTGGACTCCCATTTGGTTCCCATTAGGTTCCCATTTGGTTCCTATTGGACTCCCATTTGGTTCCTATTGGACTCCCATTTGGTTCCTATTGGACTCCCATTTGGTTCCCATTAGGTTCCCATTTGGTTCCTATTGGACTCCCATTTGGTTCCCATTAGGTTCCCATTTGGTTCCTATTGGACTCCCATTTGGTTCCCATTTGGTTCCCCATTGGGTTCCCATTTGGTTCCAATCTGGTTAATGAATGGACTTTATTAGGTTCCCAGGCTTTACTAGGTTCCCGTTAGGTTCCCATTTGGTTCCCCATTTGTTTTCCATCTGGTTCACGGATAGACTTTATTAGGTTCTCAGGCTTTATTAGGTTCCCATTAGGTTTCGATCCAAGGGAAATCGAACTCAGATGACAAGAATCGGAAACAACGACACTACCACTGCACCATCGAGTCACTTATTTGATGACCCTTATAATACCCATACAAAGCCCTCGCTCAGTGCACTGGAGGTCAAATTTCAAATGCGTTTTTACAGAAATCTTAGGCAAAACTACAGAGTGTCCCAAAAGTTCTTATACTTTTTCTGTAAGGAGTTTTAACTTGAAAAACATGTGCATTTCGAAAAACTAAGACCGGATTCAAAAAATTCAGCTATTTTTACCCCAATTTTTCATTTTCATAAAAAGATTTCAACTGTGAACAACTTTTTTGACTAGATTTTTTAAATCCAGATTTGGTTGCTAAAGGTTTTTTTGCGAAAGTTCACTTAAACTTTGCAGAATGAAATTTTTTACAAAAAAAAACGATTTGATTGTTGTTACCATTTGATAGCTCTAAGTTTTTTTCTTGAAAACAAGCCATAAACGTAGTTTATATCTTAAAAAGGAAAGATTTTCAAGCGTCTCAACGGAAGGCACTTAAATCGGGACAATGAAAATTGCGCCGAATGAAATTTCCATTTAGCAGCGCCTTCGCTTTGTGCGGGTTTGGTTTCAAAGCCTAAATGGAATTGTCATTTACCGTTGCTTTGTGCAACTCTAGTATCAATATATAGCCCTTCAATCGGGCTACACGATGGTATAAGTAACTTTTAGAAAAACTGTTGTTCAGTACAAGAAAAATGGCTGCAAAGTGAGAGCACCAACACTACAATACAAAAGACGGTACGCCGTTGTTAGCATTGCAATGTACAGTCAGCGCTCTCACTTTGCGGCCATTTTTCTTGTACTAAACAAGAGTTTTTCTAAAAGTTACTTATACCATCGTGTAGCCCAATTGAAGGGCTACATTTTGAAACCAAACCCGCGCAAAGCGAAGGCGCTGCTAAATGGCAATTCCATTTGGCGCAATTTTCGTTTTTACACAGCAGCCCAATCCTTGACATCAAAAAGTTGTTTAGAGCGCAATTTTTCTGCAAAAAATAGTATAGTATAGGTAAAAATACCTAAATTTTCATAAACCGGCGTTAGTTTTTCAAAAATAGCGTGCTTTTTTGAGTCAAATTGTCCATTTACAAAAAGTATAAGAACTTTTGCTGTAACGCTGTAAAGCTGTAACGCTGTAACGCTGTAACGCCTCGTGTTGCCCGTGTTCGACTTGCTTTGAGTCATAAAGCTTTGGTTTAGATTCACGCTTGCGAAATCTGATCTTTTCCTAATGAGCTGCTTTTAACGAATGTAACTCACTGCTGGGAACCGTTTCTTCTTTTGGAATTGCTCCAATCAGTCCCACTTGTCCCATCAATGGCGACAATTCGGCTGGGGCACCGGTCAGGATTTTCTCCTGAACATGAAAAGCTCAAAAAAACTCGATAAATTAGCTTTATTGCTATTTTATTGCTAGATTTTAAAGCTAATAAAACCTAGAAAGTTACAGAAAAGAAAATGATTTGTTCAACAGTCATAAACAATAGAATTTATAAAATACAAACTACAAAGGTAAACTACAAACGCTTCTAACTTGCTTTAAATCTATCTGATTGACAAGATCTATAGCTCAAAAAATAGAGAATTTCAAGGGCTTTCGAATGAACTAAAGTACACAAAAAATTATCAATTCTAAAGAAAGTTACAGTGGTTTGAAGCCAGCTCGATCGCTTCGACTACGAACCACTATAACTTTCTTTAGAATTAATATTTTTTGATATGCTTTAGTCCATTCGAAAGCCCTTGAAATTCTCTATTTTTTTGAGCTATAGATCTTGTCAATCCGATAGATTTGAAGCAAGTTAGAAGCGTTTGTAGTGACTGTTTGTTATTTTTGCGTCTCTAGTGCTCTTTTCTATTACCCGACACCGCGATGGATTGGTGAAATCGTCGCTAAACTCGCCGAACTCCACAATTGGATCGTAGTCAATCGTGTATCTTTCCGAGGCTTGAGATGGATCTAAACATTTGCTGATAAATTCTTTTTTTCTCATTTTAACAAACCAAAGAATCCTTTCACCCAATTTCTGATCATTTTCGCTGCAATTGAATAGATGTAAGCGGTAACGAGGACAGCCGGCAGGAAATAGGCAACTGATTCCCATGCAGTCACATCAGTTTCTCGGGAATCGCCTAAAGCAAGCTCGGCTATGAAAAAACACAAAAACATTGGCAATTTTAAATGTAACCTGTTGTTGTGATCATGTTCAATAGATAAACAATATCCGTTTTCGGTTGAGTGTAGCGAATTGCTTGAAATCCTTTAAGCAACTTTGAATAGTGATTGTGGAGAGCTGCAACAATCGCTGCTTCTGAATTCTGAAACGGTTTTTTTACGATGAACCCTAGAGTTTCTGACATTGTTCAACATTTGGTTGTTCCACATTTCGTTGGCGAGTGCCTGGTCGGCCTGTTGGCGGACGTGGGTGAAATTTGGGGTGATTCGCTCGGTTACCTAGAATGGTAAGGTTTTTTAAATTCTTTGTGTGGCCGCATAATCGCTCGCCGCCTGGCACACGCTCCCGCTAGATAGGTGTTCCTTTTGGGACTCGTTAAGGAAAAGGATCGCAGAGCGACCGAACCGGTGTTGGCTAAAGCAAGACAAGGACAAGGACGAGGACGAGGACGAGGACGAGGACGAGGACGAGAAGCAAGACAAGGACGAGGAGCAAGACAAGGAGGAGGAGCAGGAGAAGGAGGAGGAGCAAGACAAGGAGGAGGAGCAGGAGGAGGAGGAGGAGCAAGACAAGGAGGAGGAGCAAGACAATGAGGAGGAGCAAGACAAGGAGGAGGAGCAGGAGAAGGAGGAGGAGCAAGACAAGGAGGAGGAGCAGGAGAAGGAGGAGGAGCAAGACAAGGAGGAGGAGCAGGAGGAGGAGGAGGAGCAAGACAAGGAGGAGGAGCAAGACAATGAGGAGGAGCAAGACAAGGAGGAGGAGCAGGAGAAGGAGGAGGAGCAAGACAAGGAGGAGGAGCAGGAGAAGGAGGAGGGAGCAAGACAAGGAGGAGGAGCAGGAGAAGGAGGAGGAGCAAGACAAGGAGGGGGGAGCAGGAGAAGGAGGAGGAGCAAGACAAGGAGGAGGAGCAGGAGAAGGGAGGAGGAGCAAGACAAGGAGGGAGGGAGCAGGAGAAGGAGGAGGAGCAAGACAAGGAGGAGGAGCAGGAGAAGGAGGAGGGAGCAAGACAAGGAGGGAGGAGCAGGAGAAGGAGGAGGAGCAAGACAAGGAGGAGGAGCAGGAGAAGGAGGAGGAGCAAGACAAGGAGGAGGAGCAGGAGAAGGAGGAGGAGCAAGACAAGGAGGAGGGAGCAGGAGGAGGAGGAGGAGCAAGACAAGGAGGGAGGAGCAAGACAATGAGGAGGAGCAAGACAAGGAGGAGGAGCAGGAGAAGGGAGGGAGGAGCAAGACAAGGAGGAGGGAGCAGGAGAAGGAGGAGGAGCAAGACAAGGAGGAGGAGCAGGAGGAGGAGGAGGAGCAAGACAAGGAGGAGGAGCAAGACAATGAGGAGGAGCAAGACAAGGAGGAGGAGCAGGAGAAGGAGGAGGAGCAAGACAAGGAGGAGGAGCAGGAGAAGGAGGAGGAGCAAGACAAGGAGGAGGAGCAGGAGAAGGAGGGAGGGAGCAAGACAAGGAGGAGGAGCAGGAGAAGGAGGAGGAGCAAGACAAGGAGGAGGAGCAGGAGAAGGAGGGAGGAGCAAGACAAGGAGGGAGGAGCAGGAGAAGGAGGAGGAGCAAGACAAGGAGGAGGGAGCAGGAGAAGGAGGAGGAGCAAGACAAGGAGGGAGGAGCAGGAGAAGGAGGAGGAGCAAGACAAGGAGGAGGAGCAGGAGAAGGAGGAGGAGCAAGACAAGGAGGAGGAGCAGGAGAAGGAGGAGGAGCAAGACAAGGAGGAGGAGCAGGAGGAGGAGGAGGAGCAAGACAAGGAGGAGGAGCAAGACAATGAGGAGGAGCAAGACAAGGAGGAGGAGCAGGAGAAGGAGGAGGAGCAAGACAAGGAGGAGGAGCAGGAGAAGGAGGAGGAGCAAGACAAGGAGGAGGAGCAGGAGGAGGAGGAGGAGCAAGACAAGGAGGAGGAGCAAGACAATGAGGAGGAGCAAGACAAGGAGGAGGAGCAGGAGAAGGAGGAGGAGCAAGACAAGGAGGAGGGAGCAGGAGAAGGAGGAGGGAGCAAGACAAGGAGGGAGGAGCAGGAGGAGGAGGAGGAGCAAGACAAGGAGGAGGAGCAAGACAATGAGGAGGAGCAAGACAAGGAGGAGGAGCAGGAGAAGGAGGAGGAGCAAGACAAGGAGGAGGAGCAGGAGAAGGAGGAGGAGCAAGACAAGGAGGAGGAGCCAGGTCCAATTACAAGCCCGGCTCACAAGAGAACCCCCACTCACAGGCCAAACCCGGATCCGGCGTCTGCAGCATAACCATGAAACGAACTTCAGCTCAACTGTTTTGTGTTTTTTCCTTTTTTGTCACTTCTTGAACTATTATTAAACGCTCTATTATTAGATTTGAAAAGCAAAAAGGACTTGCACCCGTTGAATCGAATCGAATCAAACAATTCGATTGTTTGAGGAAAGAAAACTGATGGAAATTGCCGATCTTTTGAAAGAGTCTCACTCGGTCGTTTTGTGGCGAATAGCTACTAAAAAAACTTTCCTAATTCTGGTAATATAAAAATTGAGGAAATCCATGCGTCTTCATTCTATTTCTCGTCTCAAATCATTGTTGTTTTGCAGCTCGTTAGCTGAGGATCTTGTGTTTAAAGCCTATTGAAGGCAATTGTTGTTCGCTTCCTTGTTCTTCTTCTTCGTTTTCTTCTTCGTTTTCGTGTGAACGTCCGAGTTTGGACGAAATTCTGTTTCAGTTTATTGTCTCTTTTAATTCAATTGTCGATTAGTGTGAAAATTGTTTAAATGAGAGCTCAAAATTCCGTTTCGGTTGGCTATTTGAATAAAGAATATATTTCTTTCGTTCAAGAGAGTGAAAATCAAGTGTGATCATCTGCCTTAAAACAAGAAATAGCTTGCCTTCAAGTGTGTAATGCCAACTCCAAGAATGACCACAACACTCCCCGAAATGATCACCCCAATGAGAGCTCGATCCCGAGAGTTACGCAGAATCAGATTTCTTTACCCGTTTCAAAAGCCATCAAAACGTTACAAAGAGACGGGAAACAACGGCTTCTCGTTGATTTTGCCCAATTTGTAGATTCCTTGATGTCTTTCTCTTCATTTTTACCTTAAAGCGTGTAATGCCAACTCCAAGAATGACGACAACACTCGCCGAAATGATCACCGCAATGAGAGCTCGATCCCGAGAGTCCGTCTCGTTCATAGCTAAATTTCTTAGTTCTCTATGAACTGATAGACTAAGCTAATAGACTAAGCTATCAAGAGCTAATAGACTAAGCTATCAAAGCTAAAAAACTAGAAACTAAACCTGAAAACTTGACCCTGTAAAGTAATCTAATAAACTTTATTTTAAAATTCAAATTTTATTCAAAATACAGACGTTAATGCTTTCAGATTTCATTTATAAAAGTCTCTATAATAATTTTAGCTCTCTTTTTGCAAGAGAGCTAAAGTTTATAAGAAAATGGGAAAGTTTTCAAAATTACGAAGAAAACGGAATCTTAATTTGAAAAGCTTTTTTTGAAATTTGAATTTTGAATTTTCCAGATTTTCGCATCGAAATCGGGTGCTCAGTGACTCGCTAGGCAACGTTTTTTTTGCGATTTGAGATTTTTCAAAAGAAAACATTTAAAAAACTCTTTATTTATTACAAAATATGATATATATTGGGTTGGGGAGAATGAGTCGGCGCCGAAAATGAAAAAAATGTCTAAAACTTCAATTCGACTTCGTCAAATAATATGCGTTTGATATGAGTAGAATGGTTAACTAATTCTCTACAAAATGACATTTAAAAGAAAATTCAAACAGCGCCTCCGCTCAAGAAAAAGCCATTTTTTCACAAAAACTACAAACTGTGATCTAGAAAAAACCTGGTGGGATCTTCCTGCAAATTTGGCAACTGAAGTAATTGAATGTGCTCTATCTTTTTTATATAAACACCAAAGAAGGTTTATGTGAAAGAAACTGTTCAAATGATGAGTCGGACTCTTTGCCATTTTAACCAGCTGCGTTTGGAAGTTCATAAACTCCACGAAAGAAAAGCTTTGTGGAATCTCTCAAAAGTGATTTTGTAGAGAAATAGTGGATCCTTTTGATGAAACCAAACGTATGTTTAAAGAAGGCTTTATGTGTGCAAAAAGTCCCTTTAAAGTTTGGCGCCGACTCATTCTCCCCAACCCAATATATATATATATGCTTTATTCAGTTGAATAGCGACAAAACAAAATCACAATAATTACCCGGGACACCACTCAAAACATACCCAAAAGATAAATAGATACCTCAAGAAAGAATCACAGAGCAGTCAAATCAATTGCCGAAATGAAAAGGAGAAAAGGCCTTCTGGAGGCTTCTGAAGTAGAGAGCCGAATTTAAATCTAGCCAAGGTGGAAATATCACGAACATGAGGGGGTAAAATGTTCCAGAATTTAATAACTCGATTAAAAAAGAAACTGTGAGGGCGAAACGGAAGGTTGGCGTATGAGAAAAGGCCCCCTTCTGGAGAATGATTGAATATTTTCCTACAGATGAGGAGATACCAGACGAGAGCTTATTCCAAACCCTACTAATACGGTTCGCAAAAGAATGATAAAGGGAAAGATGATGGGGATGAGAACCGACCGAAATTTGATAAGGATGACCACGTGTACTTCTAGGAATTTCCACGATTTTCAAGAAGCTTTGAAATTCTGGATGCGACTTAGGGTGGAAGAGAATTTTATAGCACTTTGCTTTGCTTTCAAAAGTTCGTTTTTTCTATTCTTCGAAAAGTTTTATTTTAAGCTTCAAAAGCCTTTTTGCAATAAAATTCTCTAAATACCATAAAAAAGAACAGTTAAGACGGGATCGAAGAACGAGAGCTGCAAGATGTTCAAGTGAATCGACTAAAAACGAAACGGAAGGTTGGCGTATGAGAAAAGGCCTTCTGGAGGCTTCTGGAGGCTTCTGGAGGCTTCTGGAGGCTTCTGGAGGCTTCTGGAGGCTTCTGGAGGCTTCTGGAGGCTTCTGGAGGCTTCTGGAAGCTTCTGGAGGCTTCTGGAAGCTTCTGGAGGCTTCTGGAAGCTTCTGGAGGCTTCTGGAAGCTTCTGGAGGCTTCTGGAAGCTTCTGGAGGCTTCTGGAGTAGAGCCGAATTCAAAGAGACCAGAAAAAAGGGGGTCGGGATGAATGCCTTTAACAATTTTAATGCATTCCACTAAATCGATGATAAGGCGGCGTTGGTGTAACATTTCAAGATCAAAGAGTTGCAATCTATCAGAATAAGTAAAGGAGGAGAATTTGTCAAAATTAATTTTATAAAGAGCAATTCTGGTGAAGTGCCTCTGAACACGTTCTATTTTTTGAATAAGATTTAATAGGGAAGGAGACCAAACCAAAGAAGCGTATTGAATTTTCCAGATTTTCGCATCGAAATCCGGTGCTCAGTGACTCGCTAGGCAACGTTTTTTTTTGCGATTTGAGATTTTTCAAAAGAAAACATTTTAAAAACTCTTTATTCATTAGAAAATATGATAGTTGATCCATAAATCTTTTGATTTTTTTATTTTAAATGTAAATTTTCGAAGATGAGTCTAAATTAGTCGTATTTTTCAATGTTAACTTCGAAAAAATGTAAATTTAAAGAAAAAACGAAAAGAAGTACGAAAAAGATTCGTATAACTGATATTATGACGTATAAATTACAGAATTTCATTTAAAATAATGCAAATAATTTCTCTCGAATTCTTTTTTGATATGTTGAAAACAAAAAAAAAATTAGACCAAAAATTTGCTGAAAAAGTTATTGCTGAAAAAAAGTCGAATAGTCGAAATTAGAAACTCGTTAATATTATCTATAAATGTAATGATTATAATTGAATAAAAACTAGAGTAAATGATTTAGAATTTCAATTTAACATTAAATTAGAAAGAATTAGAAAGATTTTGAAGGGGTAGGCTAATTTCCGCATTTTTTTTTGCGCAACTGGGTCTTTTGCGCAAACTTGCCATAACTTTTTTCTAAGTCAGCCAATCTTTATGATTTTGGTGTCATTTTGTAGATCTCAATAAGTACAACAAAATGACACCAAAGATTATAAAGATTGACCCACTTAGAAGAAAGTTATGGTGAGTTGCGCCCAGTTGACCCAGTTGCGCAAAAAAAAAATGCGGAAATTAACCTACCCCAATTTGAAAGAATCGACTAAGAAAAATTGTATCACAAAGTCTCTGATATAAAATTTGCATATAAAATGCAATGCAATGCGATTGCAGAAATACTCATCTTGGTTTTTTTTTGAAAGAATCACAAAAGTGGCAATTTTTCGGGGCAAATAAATCAAAAATTCTATTGATTTGAACCCGTTTTTGATTAGATGATTTGTCGATTTTTAGATTCCATATGATGGATCCTTCGGGAGCTCGTGAATTTGCTGAAATTTGAGTTTTTAAAAGCAAAACATTTACTAACTAGATGATATTTTGGCCAAATACAAGCAAAATCTGTGTTTATTGTGCTAGATTCTTTGGTTAAGGCCCCTGCTCTGGCGTCGAAGGGGCACGTGTCAGTGTAGCTCATTGGTGAGCGTTCGCTTTAGACAACGATAGCAGGGTTGATCCAAAAAGTCAATATCTTTCATTTCAATCGACTCAACTCGGTTTTCTTTTTGGTTAAACTAGCCTGGATTTATGAGCAAAACCAACCAACCAAAAGTGTAAATTCAAGCCAAAGAAAATGAGGCATAAGGCCCTGCTCTGGCGTCGATGGATCACGTGTCAGTGTAGCTCATTGATAGATTATCTATCGCGTCTCGCTATCTCGCTTATCTATCGCGTTCAGGCGATAGATAAGCGACAGGTCGCGGGTTCGAATCCCGGCGCCGACCATAGCTTCAACCCGGCGTATCCAAATCTTGTAAAGAAAACTATTTCTAACCGTTTAGAGTGTTTTAAACAAATACTTTATGCGCTTCAAATCAGTTGAATCTATTTAAAGAGTTACAAAGAAATTTGGGCTTGGAGGATTAGAAATTGAACTTGGTTTAGCTTTTAAGGAACAAGCCTCGTTATGGCTGGCTTAATCGGCTTGGCTCAGGATTTTTGAGCAGACTAGGAGGATAGTGCTGTCCTGTCCATTAATTTTGGCCAACCTGTTGTCCGGGTGCTTGCGGTTGTTGCTGGACGGGTTGAGCCTAAAATTAACATTAATCAAAATACTTTAATTTGCTTAAAAATACTTAATGTTATTTAAATCAATTTGATTCATCTATCCTTTCAAAAAAAAACGAACCGGTGCCTGTCCTTGATTGTAGTGAACTTCAGCTTGAACGGGTTGTTGATGATCTTGTTGCTGTTGTTGCTGCTGTTGCTGTTGCTGTTGATGCATATTTGCTGTAACCGGTGCGGTCGATGTTTTGTAGGCGCCCTCGCCCCAACCTATCATTTTAATCACTATAGTTTATTCGTTTCAAAAATTTCGTGATTTTTGAAATGATTTCTATTTGGTGTACCTTGTTGCTGAGCGTACTCATCCTCGAATTTCTTCAGCTCTTCATCAGTGTAGACGTGATTTTTGCCCAAATCATCCCATCCAGGGTCTTTTTCGGGCGTTTGAGCCTCATTGTCCTAGAATTATAAGTAATCAAAACATTGCAAACTGATTTTAGTTTATTTTTAAGCCATTTCAGATTCAAGATGTAGTTCTTATACTAGTGCTAGATCTAAAAATGTTCCAAACTTGGCCCAAAAGTCTATAAGCCAGTCTAGTTTTGGCTTGGAATCAAATTGGAGCCTGGGATTGGTATTACTAACTATGATAGTAAGGATATGATATTTAAAAATTGATTTTAAAAGCAATGATCCCTGAATTGCCAGGAATCTTCTCTCACCTGCATGAACTCGTCCATGCTAACCAATCGGTCTTGATTCTTGTCCATTTGTGTCATCACATGTTCACGCATACGATTCATCTCCTCGAATCTGCCAACGAATCTTTATTTTCCCAAAATTTTCTCACTTTTCTCTTGGGTCATCATCGGGATTCGTTTCATTGTACATTTTATCGAGTTCAATCTGGAAAAGCGCTTCCAACTCTTCTGTGTTCCAATATCCATCTCCATTGATGTCATGAAGTCGGAAAAATGTTTTCGGGTCAAACGAATCTTTGTCCATCTGGAAAGATTTGACTATAGCTGAATTTTATTTCTCAATTAGAACATTTTCAGTCTGTTATCATGATTAATTAATTAGTAAACTGGCTGTTAGTACTGGATATTCATAGCTTTTTGTCCAGGAACATTTCAACCGGGCTCTAACTAGGTCACCGTGAGATTTCGAAACGAGATCTGGCTCATTCGATAGAAAATCGAAATGCGGTTCCGAATCTGTAATCAAAATCTGCGGAATAGCTCGCAAACGCAAGATTTTTAGCCTAAAACTTTTTGCTTTACACTTTTGGGTCGAGTTTATGAGCCTTCTTTCACTGGTAGTCGTGGTGTAGTGGATAAGGTGATTGTCTAGGGAACTAGCCGAGTCTTTTGTGGTGGGTTCGAATCCCCGTTCGAACGTTGTTTTGCTTTTCATTTTTCACAATCATATTTCTGATTTTCACAAATTCCTATACTATTTTTAAAAGAGATTTACAATGCTCGCAGCCTTGCACTTTTGAGACAAAAAGAAAGTCGAGCGAGTCGTACCATTACAGCCACAGCTCAGTCTTTTACAATCTTAGCGTTACCGATGGATCTCTCAGAACTACACTTTTTGTCCAAATGCAGGTGAAGAATGGACATTTTTTAAAACTTTTTTCTGAAAAGACAGAAAGAGAAAGAAAATGCTATAAGAATTTGTGAAAATCAGAAATATCATTGTGAAAAATGAAAAGCAAACGTTCGAACGGGTATTCAAACCGACCACACAAAAAATCGACTGGTCTCGTAGACTATCCACCTTATCCACTACACCACAACTGCTGTTGAAAGAGGGCTCTAAACTCTAAGAGTGTATACCAAAAACTTTCGGGCTAAAAAACTTGCATTTGCGAGTGATGCCGCAGATTTTGGTTACAGATTCGGATTTTCTTTTTCCCCATTCGATTTTCTATCGAATGAGCTAGGTTTCGTTTCGAAATCTCACGGGGATCTAGTACCCTTCCCCAGTAAGGTTGTAGGCCAGGCCAGGTCAGGAGCCAGGTCTAGGCTAAAGCCCTAAAGCTATTAGTATTGGATTTTCATAGACTTTTACAGTGTAAGTACCGATTCTTATGACTTTTTTTAGAATAAATTTGCATAACGCACTAAAATTTGCAAGTAAAATGATAAAGCGCTGAATAAAGTCACAAGTACGTTACTGTTTCAACTCGAATCTTGAAACCGTTTGCTAGAAGTTGTCATTCTGTTTTTCTAGAATCTTTTTCTTCTTCAGACTACTGTAATTTTGCCTCTATAAGGCAATTTTTCGTCATTTTTCCTCTATTCAAAATCATTTTCTACCACTGAACCTATTCTGATAAAGTTTTTGTTTGTTTTGAACACTTTCAAATCAATTACAGGTGAATTATATTGATTCCGATCATATTCGGACCAAGTTTGAAAGAAAGAACACAATTTTGGCATCAATAGCCGCAAGAAAGGAGTTCTTACAGTTACAGCCTACTTGTCTTTCTTTCGACACTGATAATACATTTCACCAACAAAGGAAATAGTTACAAGTACCTAAGTGCCTTTTAACTCACATGATCTCCATCCTCCCAAACTTCTTCAAGTTGATCTCGACTTCCCGGGTGTTTCAGCTTCTCGTGATCATTGTGTCGTGCATCTCTCGCCTCGTCCTCGGCCACCGCCCGTTTTCTCTCGTCCTCGCTCATTTGCGCCAATTTGTGGTCTTCTTCTGCCTAAACTTTGAATCATAAAACAAATATGGAATTTGCTAGACAATCTCAAAAATATCGTACCTTTTTCTTCATCTCATACTCCTTAAACTCATCTCGTCGGCGCTCATCTTCGGCATTCATATCAGCAACAGTCTGAAAGTTCAATTTTGAGCTTTTAAAGCATAGAAGTGCAAAAAAAGCAAAAAATATGAACTGTTGAACCTTCCGAGCAAAAATGACAGTTCTCAGTAAAGCCATTCTTCAACTCACCTTTTGAATCAATTTCCTCAAATCCTCTTTCCCGAATTTCTCCCAATTTTGCACGTCCAAGTGATCGGGCAGCTTGATATTGTTTGCGTGGCCGTCGGCTTTGATTTGCTCTTCGATTTGATTTCTAAAGTATTTTAAAATTTATTCAACCTAAATAATGTGACATAAACAAATACAAAACTTAGCGCACAACCTCTACTGTCCTATTCCTAAAGATATTGCTACGAAAAAACGCATATATGGGAAAAGATCCAAATCTTCTAGCCGCTGGGATCAAACCCATGACCTCCAGAGTAGGATACAAGACTCCTAATCACTCGGCCATGGCGCCATTCGTATTAAACGACTAATTGGGATCGTTGAATCAGCTGAATCATCAAGTTTCCTCTATCTGTAAGGATACCTCAATCGTTCAATTTCTTGAGCTTTCACAAGAGTCAGCTGATTGAAGACACCCTCATCCAAATCATCAATGTGATCAGCAATGGCTCCAGCCTAAAATAAAGATTTTAAATAAAGTAAAACTTTCTTCACTCACCTTAATATCCTCTTCCTTCATATTCTTGATTTTCTCGTTGAATTTCGGATCACTTTCCAAGATCTTCACCACTTCTTCGAGATATTTGTTATACGTGAACATGTATCTCTAAAAAAGCTTTGTTTAAGCTCAAGAATATTCTTGCAATACCTGTTTCTCGGGTTCTTGTTCACCTACCGGCTTTTGGATTTCTTCTTGTTGGCCATTTTGCCCTTGTTGAGGTTGCTGATGGGTTTCCTGAGCTAAAACTGATTGGATTGACAAAATAAATGTATTTGAAATCTATTTTTAAGAATTCTTATTCTAAAATATAAGAAATCAAAGTAAATATAGAAATCAAACTTTTAAGCTAAAGCTTTATTTGTTCCTTTTTCGATTCCGCTTGCATCAAAAGTGCTTTTCCTTTTCTTAAATTTCAAGAAAATAGCTTAAGAATCAATTCTATGCTTTAAAACATGGCCAAAATTTTTTCCTTTCTTATTAGCTTGCTTATTTTGAGGGAAAATCCGACTAAACTTAGCTTTAGTCTTAGTTTTAATCCGACTAAACTTGGTTTTAAGGTTTTAAATTACTTTTATATCGACAGTTTTAAAGTTTCAGATAACTTTCGATAAAATTTCCAAAAAATAAACCTTGTTGTGCTTGCGCGGCATCTCTTCGTGGTGGAGGAGCGACAATGAGCGGTGTGATGAGCAACAAACCAAACAACCACCGCATCCTGAAAAGAAATAAATTGAATCAAAAGTTTACTGAAATTGCAATACATTTAGAAAAGTTATGCGCAGTGTTTAAAAAAAGATTTTCAACCAAAACAAAATGTTGAGCAAGATTTGCACTTTTGCAAGTAAACAAGCAAAGAAAGATCAAATCACTCAATTTATCTAAAAATCGCGGGGGTGGGACAAATGCGACCTTTTTTTTGCGCACCTGGACATTTGCGCACCTTTTTTTTGCTGGAAAAGGCCTTAGGAAAGGTCGTAGAGCTTCAAAAATGTTTTCATAGAAGGGAATCGTGTGCGTAGATTCAGAATTTTGACAAATCAGACCTCGCTGACACGTCAAATTTGGGCTAAAAGGCAAAAACTACGCAACTTAACGCTTTTCCGCAGTTTTTGCCTTTTAGCCCAAATTTGACGTGTCAGCGAGGTCTGATTTGTCGAAATTCGGAATCTACGCATACGATTCCCTTATATGGAAATATTTTCGCAGCTCTACGGCCTTGCCTAAGGCCTTTTCCAGCAAAAAAAAGGTGCGCAAATGTCCAGGTGCGCAAAAAAAGGTCGCATTTGTCCCACCCCCAAAAATCACTGTAAATTAGCTTTAAATCAAAGATAAATGAACTAATAATGATGATAAATCAAATAGAAAAGCATTGTAAACAAAAATGGAAAAAGATTTTATTTAGAACGATCATTTGAACTTTTTTTCAGCAAAAACAGGCAAAATTAGCCAAAATCAAGCAATCAAAGACTTGATTTTGACAAAGTACAGCTAAATTTTGAGCAAAAGAAAGTTAATTGTGAAAATAATTGAAAAAATATTAGCAATAGTGGAAAGATTGAAGAAAGAAAATCATCAAGAAAAAAAAAGAACAAAGAAAATCGGCTTTTAACACAAGAATTGAATAGAAATGTGATTTTTCGGGGTAAATTTATGTTATTCTTTAAAAGTTTTGATTTCTGGCAAAGAACAATTGAGAAGGAATAAAGCTGGATTGAAAAAAAAATCGTCGAAAAAGTGTCGTGGCTTTGACTTGTGGAACCTGTTTTGAATAGACTGACAATTTTTGGATGAATCCTCATTTCTTTTCTCCATTTCTCTAACTTCTTTTCAAAATTTCTGAGAGATTAGGGAATTTGCGGAGTGAGTAGACAACGAACATTTCGCTGTGAGACCATTTGATGTCTATTTGTGGGACAAATGGTTTAGACAACGTCAGTGATTCGATTTCGGGTCGATACAAAAAGAAAATATGGTTTTGTGTACATTCTACCGTAGATCTTTTTAATGGCGTTTTCTAAAACGCGCCCATTTTGTGTATTTAAAGAGAATTTTTGCGAGAAATTTCATTCTTGTCAATTCGTTTAGCAGGTTTATATAGCTAGTATTACAAATCACTTAGATTTGGTATGGTTAGGTTTATCAAAAGTAATTAAATATAAACCGATAAGCCTAACCTTACCTACGAGAATCTCCACAAAAGGGTATTTTGTTGATGAAGCGCTAAAAAAGTTTCCGGATATTTTGAACGAGTCGTCACGCTTTGAAGGCCTATAACTTTGTCCAGAGATAATATATTTGTTAGCTTTTTATATCATTGTACAGAGGACCTTGCAGGCTTTCAAATGATACCAAATAGAGCTTGACTGAATTTTTCATTCCCATGCAAACGAGGCGACGCGACACCCAAGTTGGACAGGCCTCATTCGCTCAGAGTTGGCTCTGATTTTCTTGAACTGAATTATCCAATCTAGCTCTATTTGGTATCATTTGAAAGCCTGCAAGGTCCTCTGTACAATGATATAAAAAGCTAACAAATATATTATCTCTGGACAAAGTTATAGGCCTTCAAAGCGTGACGACTCGTTCAAAATATCCAGAAACTACGCAAGAGTCAAAAGCGCAATGGAATGAAGCTTTTTGAAAAGTGGAATCACAAAATAACTTTCAAAACACAAAACACAAAACAAAATAACAAAAATAAACAACTGTCTCGTCAAGAATGCCAATGAGGAGACTGAACGTTTTTGGGAATGGCTTTGAAAAGAGCAAATTGTGCTTTTTGAGAAAGGAATTTAATAAAAATAACAAAATTAGTTAAATTATAGAATTTTTATTGCAAAATGGTTAGGATTGCTTTTCTGAAATTAAGGACAAAACAGAAAAATGAAAAAAAGCACCCAATCCGAAGCGCAAATGAGACCTGGACAATGTAGAAAATACAGACCAGAATTAAACTTAACTAGAATTAAGCTAATAAGATGAATAATTTTGATTTTACGCTAAATCCGAATAATCCGAATAATCCCGGTTTTTCTAGGAATACTTTTAAGGTCGATATCTCGCTATTTTAAGGTCGATATCTTGCTTATTTGAAGGTCGATATCTCGCTATTATTTACCTATTTCAAGTCTCAATAAGTGCAACAAAAAAACGAATTGTTGACAAAAAGAAATTCGATTTTAGATCTTATACACAGTAGCTCAAAATAAAATCGCAATGTTTGTCGAACTAAACTGTAGAAAGTGGTGAAACGAGTGAAATCTAGTGTATATGTGAAATCTAATGTATACGGGGTGACCAAGAATTACCGCAACAACATCGTATTATGTTATGAGCCCCATTTCACTTTTTACTTACCTGTTTTCATGGTTTTTCTGTATTTTTCTTATTTTATGGTATTAACTTTCAATACATTATGATTGTTTTCAGGAATGGTGAAAGCGTCTCCACATCGACAATCGATTCTTGAGCTCAAGCGGCAGCGTGTTCAAGCGAGCGAGATCTCAAGCGCCTGAATGCCCCCAGAAGCCTCGTTTCTCGAGCCATTCAACGTTATGAAACTCTTAGCAAAGTTTGATCGCCCTGGAAGAGGTGCAAAACGAACAGCGGTTACTCCGACCAATGTCAAGAAAGTCCGCGATCGTCTAAGATTAAACCCTAACCAATCGGCTCGAGGAATGGCACAGAAAATGGGTCTGAAGAGAAGCTCCGTCAACACAATCATCAAGAAAAAGCTGAAAATGAAGCTGTACAAGAAGAACAAATCTCAATTACTATCAGCTGCCCATTGGATTACTCAATCTGGAGTGTTCTTGAAGCCAGGGCATGTGCAAAACCACATAAAAATATCGAAAGTTTGAAAGAAGGCGCTCATCAAGATACCCTCGATGATGCCTATTTGCTCGAAATTTTTAGAGAGCTTGCCATAAGGCATAAGTTGCCATAAGTTGCCATGCCTATCAGCTGCTGCGAAGGGCAAGCGAAAAGACCTAAGCCTTGAGCTCAAGCGGCAGCGTGTTCAGGCGAGCGAGATCTCAAAGCACCAGAATTTGTTACTGTTATATGTTGAATAAAGATATTTAAGTTAACTTTTGGGTCGCATACCGTATTTACTCTATTAGTGGGGTCCTCTCTAATAGTGGGGTCCTCTCTAATAGTGGGGTCGTCTGGAAGGGGATTGAAAAAATAGTGGGGGACCCCACTAATAGAGTAAATACGGTATTTGGTTAAAAGCCAGGCCTTTTTGTGTGTTGCGGTAATTCTTGGTCACCCTGTATAATAAGATAAACTCGAAGATTGTTTTATCGCAAAGACTTCATGATTCAAAGAACAATCCATCGTCAAAGGAGGTTCACCTAACCGGATTCCTTCTTAAATCTCAAAACTAATTTATAAATACACTTAACACACATCTTTTTGATTGTCTATTGATTCTCTCACAAATTCTTGTTTCTTGAGTCTTGTTATAACCTCAAAAATCAACAATAATCATGTCTCGGCGCTAAAATTAGAGGGTGTTTCGGAGTGGGCATTATCTGCTCATCACAAATCCTCTCAAGTAGGTGTGAGATGGAAAGAAAGGAGAAAGAGAAAGAGGAGAAATTGATGCGATGAAGAAGATGAGGAGAAAATCGCCCCTTTTAGAGGTAATCAGCCGCCAGAATCGTCCCTCACTTTACTTTTACACCACCATAAGTTGTTTTCACTTTACTTTTGCACGTTTCTTCGTCGATTTTAAAATTAGCTGCTTAATCGGGATTGATTCCAAATTAAAAGTTTATATCTAGATCTTTAGCCTGAACTTTTTTCGAGCTTTACTTGGTTAATGAACTCAAAAATCTCGTGTTTAAGTTCTCAACAATAAATAAAACTTTTTACTTGGATTTTTTTAAATAAAAGAAACTGTAACATATTAGGCAGTCATCCATTAATAATACAGGGCCTATGAGCCTTGTTATAACCTCAAAAATCAACAACGATCGTGTCTCGGCACTAAAATTAGAGGGTGTTTTGGAGTGGGCATTATTTTTGAAAAAGCTCCTGGCAAACGCCTGACCAAAGTGTCAAGTGTTTTATAGAAAAATAAAGCTCTTTATCTTGGCATCATTTTTCGACAAAGAACTTCTCGATTAGAATTATGCAACTCATTTTAAAAGCTCTTGAATGAGCTCAAGTCGGCCTCTCGCCGACAATCGCCATTTTTGACACCTTCCTTAATAAAAAAGTTGCTAATTTTTTAGCAAACTACCAAGTGTTATATAGAACATAAAAGCTCTTAATCTTGGCTACATTTATCTATTAAAAGTTTTTCGATTAGACTATTACAACTCATTTTAAAAGCTCTTGAATGAGCTCAAGTCGGCCTCTCGCCGACAATCGCCATTTTTGACACTTTTTGACATACAATATTTTCATCTAGGTAGAAATTCCTTAATCAAACTTGTAATATTTTACTTTAAAAGTACGGTTGAACAAAAATATAACGCTAAAAGCTTTTACAGCAAGATTTTCTTGTCAAATGGTTTCGAAAAAGCTCAATTTTCCTTTTTTTACGGTGTTTCCTAGAAATTAACCCCAATTTTATCTAGAAAAGTTTGATAAAAGAGTTTGCTGTTATTCTTATTACTATTAAATGATATTAAATATTATCGAGAAAACCTTTTTAAACAACTTTTTTATTAAGAAAAGTGTCATAAATGGCAGATCGTTGGAGA